TTTGGGGTTTCTGACATCACCATAGGACCCTCCCTTCCCAGAGACAATCTGATCAGAGCAAGACCAAAGAGTCTCTGCCTATGTCATCAAAATAGCTAATGTTGGCCGGGTGCAGTGGCTCATGCCTGTAATCCCAGTACTTTCGGAGGCCGAGGCAGACAGATCATTTGAGGTCAGGCATTGGAGACCAGCCTGGCTAACATGGTGAAACCTCGTTTTTACTAAAAATACCAAAAAGAAAAAGAAAAAAAAAATAGCCAGACGCGGTGGTGGGTGCCTGTAATCCCAGCTACTCGGGAGACTGAGGCAGGAGAATTGATTGAACCCGGGAGGTGGAGGTTGCAGTGAGCTGAGATCATGCCATTGCACTCCAGCTTGGGCAACAAGAGTGAAACTCCGTCTAAAAAAAAAAAAGGCTAATGTTTATTTGTACCAAAGTTTTGCACACCTTGTCTTATTTTGTAGGATCACTCTAAGGTGTAGGATCTATTAATAGCCTCACTTTATGAATGAGGAAGCCGAGTGACAGAGACTTTAAAAAAAAGCAACTTTCCTGGGCCACAAGCACTATCACCATAACTGCCTCTGTTTGATGAGATAACCTAAGGAATTCATATTCATTGAGCATCTAGTGTATGGCAGATGAGCTAGGACCTGAGAGAAGTTGGGCCCATGGGCGCTCTTGGCCTCCCAGCAAAGGGATCTCTGCTCATTGACACCCCACTGGGCACTGCTCTGCCTAAGTGCCGATATACATGTGAATTGTCTCCATGCCTGGTCAAACTGGCATTTCCAGTTGACCAGGGCAGAATGTAGACACTGAGACCTGAGGGGTATATGCATTCATTTCACACCTACAAACTTGGAATTCAAGGTTCCAGAGCCCAGAAAAAAAACAAAAAAACAAAAAAAAAACCACAATTTACAAAATTTTTAAAGAAAGAAGCCAGAAAATTGGACTCTAAATTTCAGAGTGGCATTGGCTCTTTGGTTGTCTCTGCTCTGGTGGGAACCACCTGGAACAGAAGAAATGGGAAACATGCCCCCATCACTCTGCTGCAAGAAAAAGAAAGACTTTTCCGACCAGCTGACCAATTTGGTCATTTAGAGCATGAACTTTTGGAGCCAGTAGGCCTTGCAGTTTCAGCCTAACTGCATGCTGGCTGTCAGACCTCTGGGCTTCCATTTTCTTATCTGTGATATTCCCACTTGTAATCATAGATAATGCACATGGTTGTTCTGAAAATTAACCAGGATAATTCATGGAACACGAAGCAAAGGGCTTAGCATAGCAAGGGATCAATATATGTTATTATTATTTTGTCATCATTACTATTCTCATTATCAAAATGGCTATCAAAATCGCCATGAATATCATCATTTATGGTGATAATAACATCATCATTATCATCTTTCCACAGGAAAACATCCTACATAATCCTTAGTCACTCAGATCAAAACCTCAGCGTCATCCTTGACTCTTCTCTTTCACCATGTTTTATATTCAAACTCCTTCTCCCAAATCTCTCCAGAATGGAACGACTTCTCAGAATATTTATTAACACTCTCCCGGCCCAAGCCATCACCATCTCTCACTGGATTACTGTAGTAGCCTCTGACTGATCTACCTGCATCCATTTTTTTTTTCCCGTTTTGTCTAATCTTCATTAACATTCAGAGAAATCCCGTTAAAAAGTAACTCAGATCATCACTTGAGGTCAGGAGTTCAAGACCAGCCTGGCCAGCATGGTGAAACCCCGTTCTACTAAAAATACAAAAAGTAGCGGGGCTTGGTGGTGCGTGCCTGTAATCCCAGCTACTCGGGAGGCTGAGGCAGGAGAATCACCTGAACCCAGCAGGGGAGGTTGCAGTGAGCTGAGATGGCACCACTGCATTCCAGCCTGGGAAACAGAATGAGATCTGTCTGAAAAAAAAAAAAAAAAAAAAAAAAAAGGCCGGGCGCGGTGGCTCAAGCCTGTAATCCCAGCACTTTGGGAGGCCGAGGCGGGTGGATCACAAGGTCGAGAGATCGAGACCATCCTGGTCAACATGGTGAAACCCCGTCTCTACTAAAAATACAAAAAAATTAGCTGGGCATGGTGGCACGTGCCTGTAATCCCAGCTACTCAGGAGGCTGAGGCAGGAGAATTGCCTGAGCCCAGGAGGCGGAGGTTGCGGTGAGCCGAGATCGTGCCATTGCACTCCAGCCTGGGTAACAAGAGCGAAACTCCGTCTCAAAAAAAAAAAAAAAAAAAAAAGAGGTAACTCAGATCACATCCACCTCTGCTCAAACCCTCTGGCATCATTTCATATTCTGCAGGGGGAAAAGTCAAAGTCTGTTCAATGGTCTGCAAGACCCTATATCACCTATCCCCTGGCCCTAGCTCACTCTGTTCCAGACCCAATGGAATTCTTGTCATACCTTGAACGTGTTGCATATGCCCCACCTCAGGGCCTTTGCACACACTGATCTTTACCAGGAATCCTCTCCCTTTAGATGTCTATACGGCTTACTCTCTCATTTCTTTTCATCTTTGTTAAAATACTGCTGCTCAGTGAGCCATCTTTAGCCTCCTACTTAAACTTGCAATTTCCCTAATACTCCCAGCCTCCAACTCTCCTGTTCTTTTCCATAGTACATATCATCGAACACAGCACATGTTTTACTTCTTTATTTTGCCTATTTTCTGCCTTTTTCAGCAGAGATTTTTATCTGTTCACTGCTATATCCCCAGTCCCTAGAACAGTGCCTGGCGCATGGCATATCCTAAAAAAGATTCGTTGAATGGATGAATAAACGAATGAATGCATAAAATGAATGAATGAATGTCCACTACTATTATCATAGGACCCATCAATCCAACTTTCAGAACTCAGCATTCCAGTTGCCACAATCTCTTTCTGTCCCTTCCATTTCAGACACCCAGGAGGACTGGGTTGTGTGTGCAGCCTTTAAAATTTGCTCTACCATCTGGACAATCATTCCAAGGTTTCTCTTACCCTGAGCTTCCACCCTTAGAAACTCAGAATCAAATTCTATGTCAATCAGCAACCCTGAGCTCAGCATGGCCAAATCCACGAGGAAGCCAGGGAGAGCCCCACGGACCAGAGCAGCCAGCAGTTGGGCAGTGCTTGCTGGTGATGATGGATGGGGGTTATCGAAGGCAATGATGGTGACAAAGCAGGCAGTGGAGGGGCATCGATCCAGGAGGGAGGGACGAAGTCCCCGCTCCCCGTCCATTGACCTGGAGTTTAATGAAAGCGATCATTCACTTTCCGATCCCATTACAGGAGCAGGCGTGCTGACCAGCAATGGGGCCCGCGCCAGCTGTCCTGGGGCCCTGCTTTCTGAGCTGCACTTTACAAAAGAACTCTCTGTTGGACTGGGAACTTGACCTCTGCAACAGAGGTGATTTGCACTTTGTCCAAGTGCTCCAGATGGACCGAGGGGGTGGGTGGTGATGGAAAAGATAAAATGTTCTGGCTTGAAAGGAAATCAATGACCCCCTGCTCTGGCTTGGCTCACCTTCCTCAGTCATGGGGTAGCTAGGGACCTGCAGCCTCACAATGTTATCAGGAGGAAGAAAGGCAAACTTGGGCGCCTTTTAGTTCCCTCCTGTTTAGCCAGAAAAGCCTCTTCCACTGCCAAGGTCACGTGCCAGCTCCCTGATGCTACTTCCAGGAAAGGGCTTCTCCACTCCCTCGCCACTGCCCAGCAAGGTGAGGAGCCAAGGCGTCCAGATCAGATCTCTTAATGGAGAGTTTCAGATCTCTTCGGTTTCCCCTTATGCAAGAGGATGGGCTCAGGGGAACACCATAACCTCCCCATCCCCACCCTTCCTACTCCTGGCCTTCCTTACCTGCCAAAGTGCCCTGTCCAACTACTACGTAAAAGGCAACTGCAGGGGTCCAATTCGGCCTGTTAGCTGCAGGACGTTCCACCAGATGGCGCTCATGAGCTCTCATTCCGACTGTCTCCGTAATTTCTGACCACAGAATTTTTTTTTAAACACAAAATTTTAACATTTTGGAATATTTACCTCCAGGTTTCTTTTGTCCCATGCATACACTTTTTAAAAATTTCATAAATGTGATCATCATGTCTATGCTATTTAGTGGTTTGTTTTTGTTTATTTCCATAGCTTTAGGGTACAAGTGGCTTTTGGTTACACAGATGAATTGTGTAGTGATGAGATTTTAGTGCACCCATCACCTGAGTCATGTTCATTCTACCCAATAGGTAGTTTTTTTAAATCCCTCATCCCCCACCCAGTCGCCCTGTGTCTGAGTCTCCAATATCCATTATACATCTCTGCATGCTTTTGCTTACTTATTTCTTGGATCCCACTTTGACCACAGAAATTTTACAATAATAATAGAAGCAGTAGTAAGACTGCATCATGTACTTAATTTGTACCAGGCATTATGCCAAATGTTTTACATTCCTAGTGGAGGTTAGAAACAAGAACTCTGCAGCTAGACTGAGTGGGCTCTTATCTTGGCTATACCTCTCACTGTCATAGGGCCTTGGGCAAGTAAATCATTTCTTGTGCTTCAGTTTCTTCATGTATAAAACTGAGATAATAATAGAGTTATAGAGAGGAGTAAATGGCTTAATGCACATAAAGCTCTTAGAAAACAGTACAAAATATATAGCCAACTGTGACATAAATCTCATTTGACTCTGACAATTCCTTGAGGTAACCACTATTATTTTCGCCCACTTTACACAAGAGAAAAATGGAGCTCAGAGAGACTAAGTTGTCCATGATTGCATTGTTTCCAATGCTACTGAATCCAAAGAACCTTGATATACATCTCCCAAATTGACCAATTTCATGAACCATTGTGTCTCACATCCTGTCACATTTATGAAAATTTAGCCATTAGCAGCTGAGCACAGGAGAGGCCCCAGGCTAAGCAGGCCCAACAAATAGTCCACTATGGGAGTTGGGGAGCGGGGAAAGGCTCTCTTGAATTTTGTCTTCACACTCTTTCAGACAATCCATCCTCAAAGCAATCCAGGAACTTGGCGGAAGAGCTGGGCAAAGCTGTGGAGATCATGGGCAAAGGCAAGAATGGGATCGGCTTTGGCAAAGTGGACATTACTGTAGAGAAGGAGCTTCAGCAGGAGTTTGGGATTACCAAGGCCCCAGAGTTGAAGCTGTTTTTTGAGGGCAACAGGTCAGCGCCCATCAGCTGCAAAGGTAATGGTGGTTTTATGTCACATTTGTTTCATGCTCATGGAGAGTCTACTTTTGCCAGCCAGAGGGTAAAGGTGGGAGACTCTGCTCCATGCAGCCTCTCAGGGACCCAGGCTCCTCCAGTTTGTGGCTCTGCCCTTCTCTAGGGTCCTCGAGCCACTTGCTCTTTTCGCTGTATCCAGCCAGCAGTCGGGCTAAGAGGTAGAAGGTCACCATGGGTACTGTTCATGGCCCTGGCCTGGAAGTGGGAAGTATCACTTCTATTCGCATGCTTTTGACTGCAGTTCTGTTACATGGCCCTACTCAACTACAAGAAAGGCTGAGAAATACAGTTTAGCTTTGTCTTTAGAAAGAAAATGGGTTGGCCCGGCCAGTCACTCACGCCTGTAATCCCAGCACTTTGGGAGGCCGAGGCAGGGATCACGAGATCAGGAGATTGAGACCATCCTGGCCAACGTGGTGAAACCCTGTCTTTACTAAAAAGACAAAAAATTAGCTGGGTGTGGTAGTGCATGCCTGTAGTCCCAGCTACTCAGGAGGCTGAGGCAGGAGAATCGCTTGAAGCCGGGAAGCAGAGGTTACAGTGAGCCAAAATCGCACCACTGTACTCCAGCCTGGTGACAGAGTAAGACTCCATCTCAAAAAAAAAAAAAAAAGGAAGCAAGCAAGCAAGAAATAAAATAGGTTTAGTGACCACATAGCTGCCTCTGTTACAGCTTGCATCTCAGCTGATGGGCCTTAGAAACACCAAGAGGTGGGAGGGTGGAGTGCATGGCTTAGAAACTACCAGACACCAGCGATTAAATTCCTAACTCCACTTCCCACTCCCAATTTTTGACTTTAGAATGATTTTGACAGAGTCCTAGGGCAAGGGAAGCACGAATTAGCCAAAAGGGAAATTGGGAGATAATGGAACAAGACAGATTTGGGATACAGTGTCTATCAAACACTTTAAGTTCTATCATCATATTTTTCATTCATTTACTAACTAATTCATTCATTTATTCAATATCTATTTGTTGACAAGCTACCATGTGCCAAGCCCTATCTTGATGTTAAAGATGTGTGGAGAATAATGTACCGGTATGGTACATATGATAGTCCCAACTTTTATAAAGTTATATGTATGAAGGCATTCATGGATTCAGGATGGATAAATGAATGGAAGTAACAAAACTCAAAAAGCCAGACTGAGTGTTAATTTGCAAGAAACACACATCCAGGGGCCACAAGATACTTTGCAGTTCTCAGAATGGACACAAGAGGGCACGAAAGACACAGGATAGACGCAGAGCAAGGAGCCACAAGAGAACCTCAGGACGGTCACCTAAGTGAAGGACTGCAGCTCCCAGCAGGCTTGTGCGAGGGTGGTGGCTGAGGGGGCAAGAGAAGGAATGGGGAGGGAGGGCAGGAACAGTGAGAGAAGCAACAGAGGCTGCTGTTTCCTATGGATACTAGGGGATGACCCTCAACAAGGGGGACTGGCTGACACCAGCAAGGAGCTCTTTGTGATATGTTTGGGGAGAGGTTTGAGGAAATGAGAGGCCCTAGGTCATCGAAGCCCATGACTGCTAATGGAGGGGCCCAGGTGCTGCGATGACCTTCCTTTCTGAAGGGCAGGAGAGACCCGATTCCACTTAGAGGCGACGAAGTAGCATCGTGGCAACTTCCTAGACTGTGGGTGAAACTAGCAGAGAAGGTCCCCAAGACATTGGACCTCTGAGTCCTTTTTGTGGGGGAAACCAGTGCCTGGGGCCTCGTCCGCCATACAGAAAACTTCCTCATCACCTCCTCCGGGAAGTCTCTTCTGACTGCCGAGGCCAGGATGCCTGCTCCACCTCTGTGGCCTCGCGGCACCTGTGTTTTCCCCATCAAGGCCCTCGCCTCAACGGATTACATCTGCTACTTACTGCTTACTCTACAGCAGGCGTCCCCAAACTTTTTACACGGGGGCCAGTTCACTGTCCCTCAGACTGTTGGAGGGCCGCCACATACTGTGCTCCTCTCACTGACCACCAATGAAAGAGGTGCCCCTTCCTGAAGTGTGGCGGGGGGCCGGATAAATGGCCTCAGGGGGCCGCATGCGGCCCGCGGGGCCGTAGTTTGGGGATGCCTGATACAGAGAGCATCACAGGGGCAGCAGCTGATCTCACTTGCACTCCTGGGTTCTCTAAAGGGATTGCCAGAATTGACTGCACTCCCCTCTGCGTCCAAATCCTTACCACAGACTTAAGGAACAATCACCGCCTCTGGTTGGATCTCAGTTTTCTCATCTGTTAGATAGGGTTGATGAAAAGATCTACCTTTTTTGGATTGTTGGGAAGATAAAACAGTGTTTGCCAGGCACAGGGCCTGACACATACCTGCAGCATATGCTGCATTCCAGGCATCGTTCTAGGTCCTTCTCCTATGTTATAACACCCAAATATAGGAGGTGCTTTTACAGATGGAGACACTGAAGCACAGAAAGGTAGAATAACTTCCTCAAAGCTCCCCAGCAAGTAGTGGTGGAGTCAGTGAATGTTTTCTGTGAAGGTCCAAAACATTAATATTTCAGGTCTTACAGGCCAGACAGTCTCTGTTGTAACTATGCAGCTCTGCTGATGCAGTGTGAAGGCAGCCATGGCTTAACAAATGGGAATGACTGTGTTCCAATAAAGTTTTATTCATACATTCAAACAGCAGGCCAGATTTGGACTATGGGCTGTGGTATGTTAAAATCTGCTTTACATTGCGCTGTACCCTAAGCAAGTGGTATTGTACCCTAAGCAAGATGTGTTTATTATTATTATCTGACTGTTAGTTCCTGATTGTAGTTCCATGAGTCCAATGCCTGGAACAATTAAGTTCTTTTTCTTTTTTTTTCTCTTCTGAGATGGAGTCTCTGTCTGCTGCCCAGGCTGGAGTGCCGTGGTGTGATCTTGGCTCACTGCACCCTCTGCCTCCTGGTTCAAGTGATTCTCCTGCCTCAGCCTCCCGAGCAGCTGGGACTACAGTCACATGCCACCACGCCCAGCTAATTTTTGTATGTTTAGTAGAGACCAGGTTTCACCATGTTGGCAAGGATGGTTTTGATCTCTTGACCTTGTGATCCACCTGCCTCCCAAAGTGCTGGGATTACAAGCATGAGCCACTGCACTTGGCCCTAAGTTCTTAACAAATAACTTTTGAGCTAGGTGCAGTGGCTCACAGTTGTAATCCCAGCACTCTAGGAGGCTGAGATGGGAAGACCACTTGTGCCCAGAAGTTTGAGGCCAGCCTGTCAATATAACAAGACCCTGTCTCTATAAAAACCTTAAAAATTAGCCAGGTGTGATGAGGGGCATACCTGTATTCTCAGCTACTCAGGAGGCTGAGGTGGGAGAATTGCCTGAACCCAGGAATTTGAGGCTGCAGTGAACCACAGTTGCACCACTGCACTTCAGTCTGGGCGACAGAGCAAGATCCTGTCTCTAAATTAAAAATAGTAGTAATAATAATAGTTTGAGTTCAAATACAATAGAATTGGAAGCACCCAACTTCCAACCAGGAAAAAGGGAAAGGGGATGCCAGGATGAAGCTGGGATAGGGATTGCGGATGCCTGGATTTTAGGATGAGCAGTGGCCATGGGAACTTGAACGAGCCTTTTACAATGGAGCTTCCAATTTCTCATTTTCTAAACAGGGTGAATAATTCCAGTTCTGCCTACTTGCCAGGGATCTTCTTTTTTTTTTTTTTTTTTTTTTTTTTTTTTGAGACGGAGTTTCGCTCTTGTTACCCAGGCTGGAGTGCAATGGCGCGATCTCGGCTCACTGCAACCTCCGCCTCCTGGGTTCAGGCAATTCTCCTGCCTCAGCCTCCTGAGTAGCTGGGATTACAGGCACGCGCCACTATGCCCAGCTAAGTTTTTGTATTTTTAGTAGAGACGGGGTTTCACCATGTTGACCAGGTTGGTCTCGATCTCTTGACCTCGTGATCCACCTGCCTCGGCCTCCCAAAGTGCTGGGATTACAGGCTTGAGCCACCGCGCCCGGCCCTTGCCAGGGCTCTTCTAAGCTAAGAGAGGAGACAGTGCTTTATGCATCTCCTGCAATGTGACTTTGATGAAAACCCTTCTTAGGACGCAGGTGGGATTTAGTCCTTGCTGGGTCAAAGCCCCAGTCCCGTTCTCATCTAATCTCCAAGGATTGATGGAGGGAGACTTGCCCATGGCCACCGCCCTGGAAGGAGGGAGACTCAGGTTGCCTCTAGGCCTCTATTAATGGTGCAGCCACAGCAGCTTGTGCCTGTAAATATGCCGCCCAGTGCCAGCCCTAGTCAATCATTGACAGTGCATTCACACCTCAGTTGTCACCGTGTCCTCTGGCTCAGAGCCAAGCACAAAGGAGGACCCCCCCCCTACAGGGGCAGTACCTGATCTGCAGGCACAAAGGAATCAACAATTTGCAGAGTTCATACCTACCTCAGTCCCACAGGGGCCAAAGAGGCACATGAAGCTCACACATCCCCAAGAAGATGGCCCAAGATCAAGTTTCCTCAAGCCAGCTTCCCTGATAATTCATTCACCCCATTCATTCATTCCAGAAAGATTTCTTAAGCACCTACTATGTGCCAGGCATTATGGGCACTTACTGGGAGCTCACACTGAACAAGCTGGCAAAAAAAATCACCGTAATAATTTCAGGGAGGGCTAAACTCAATTAAGAAAATAGAACAGGTCATAAGACAGAGAGCGATTGGCTAAGAGAAGAACCAACTGAAAACTGAATAAGCAGAAGAAGGCACTGCCCTTGAAGAGCTGGGTAAAGGACAACCCAACTGGAGGGACCAGCCAAGGCCAAAGCCAGTGCTCTGGTGGAAAAATCTTACCGCTGGAGTATGGACAGGGTAGAGGGGGGCTTAAAGTGACCTCAGAGCAATGGTTCTCATGACCTGAAATCGAAATTCATTTGGCATGTTTTTGTTCTCCTTTTTTGATATCTTCAGATTTTGTAAATCTGTTCCTTTCAGATTAGTTACAGTACACTTTTGCCACACAAGTGCATAGAAGAGAAACCATTTGTTTCCATGTGTGCCTTATTTTGACCTAAAGATGGCCAGAAACACTGTAAAGAAACTCAGTTTTGAGGCTGGTATCTCAGAGTGGGGAATTACAGCAGAAGTGGGGTGCCAAGGTCTGGGGGTGGTATGATGCCTCCTCTTCCTCTCTTCTCTTTTTTTTTGAGATGGAGTCTCACTCTTGTTGCCCAGGCTGGAGTGCAATGGTGTAATCTCAGCTCACCGCAACCTCTGCCACCTGGGTTCAAGCACTTCTCCTGCCTCAGCCTCCTGAGTAGCTGGGATTACAGGCGCATGCCACCATGATCAGCTAATTTTTGTACTTTTAGTAGAGATGGAGTTTCACCATGTTGGCCAAGCTGGTCTTGAACTCCTGACCTCAGGAAATCCGCCCACTTCAGCTTCCCAAAGTGCTGGGATTATAGGGGTGAGCCACTGTGCTTGGCCTCCCTCTTTTTTTTTTTTTTTTTTGAAGCCACCATATCAACTTCACATGAACTTCCATAGGCTTGACTGGTTGTGGCTTTTTAAATGACCTTAACTATATCTACTAAAGTTAAACATGGCATCTGCTATGACCAGGAATTCTCCTCATGGCTATACACCCAACAGAAGTGCATACAATGTGCCCCAGAGACATTCATGAGAATTCATTCGGACATGGTGACTTGCCTGGAGTCCTAGCACTTTGGGAGGCTAAGGTGGGAGAATTGCTTGAGCCCAGGAATTCGAGACTGGCCTGTGCAACATAGCGAAACCTCCTATCTACTAAAAATTGCTTAAAAATTAGGCAAGTGTGGGCCAGGTGTGGTGGCTCACACCTGTAATCCCAGCACTTTGGGAGGATGAGGTGTGAGGATTACCTGGAGTTAGAGACCAGCCTGGCCAACATGGTGAAACCCTGTCTCTACTAATATTAAAAAAATTATCCAGGCATGGTAGTATGCAGCTGTAGTCCCACTACTCGAGACTGAGGCAGGAGAATCGCTGAAACCTGGGAGGCAGAGGTGCAGTGAGCCAAAATTGTGCCACTGCACTCCAGCCTGGGCAACAGGGCAAGACTTAATCTCAAAAAAAAAAAAAAAAAAAAAAAAAGCCAACTGTGGTGGTGCATGTCTGTAGTCCCAGCAACTGAGAGGCCCGAGGTGGGAGGATGGCTTGAGCCTGGGAGATTGAGGCTGCAGTGAGCCGTGACTGCACCACTGCACTCTAGCCTGGGTGACAGAAGGAGTAACTGTCTCAAAAAAAAAAAAAAGGCTGTAAACTGAGAGCAACTTAATGCTCATCAGCAGAGAATGGAAAAATAAATTGTAGAATATTCATAGCAGTTGAAATGAATCTATAAGTACATGAAAAACTGTGGCTGAATCTCACAAACCAGAGTCAAGAACATTTATATGAAGTTCAGGAACAGGCAGACTAGCATATGCTGTTAGAAGTTAGAGTGATGATGTAATACTACACAACCATAAAAAGGAATGAGATCATGTCCTGTGCAGGGACATGGATGAAGCTGGAAGTCATCATCCTCAGCAAACTAACACAGGAACAGAAAATCAAAAAACCCCATGTTTTCACTCATAAATGGGAGTTGAACAATGAGAACACATGGACACAGGGAGGGGAACACCACACACTGAGGCCAGTTGCGGGGGTTGGGTACGAGGGGAGGTAGAGCATTAGGACAAATACCTAAAGCATGTGAGTCTTAAAGCCTAGTTAACAGGTTGATGGGTACAGCAAACCACCATGGCACGTGTATACCTATGTGACAACCTGCACTTTCTACACATATATCTCGGAACTTAAAGTAAAATAAAAGAAAAAGAAGTTAGGGTGGTGGTTACTTTTGGATAGCAGGGAGTAGAGGCTGGGAGTGGGCACAGGGACTGCTGAGGATCTAGTGATTTTCTAGTTCTTGATTTGGGTTGTAGTTACACAGGAGTACTCATTTTGTAAAAATCCATCTAACCATGATCATGTATGCACCTTTCTGCATGTAAATATACTTCATTATAAGTTTTTGAAAAGCTTTCATGTTCTCATGAAATAAAGCAGGAGGTAGTGTTTTTGCAGTTGATTTCGTAGCTCAGGGTGCATTCCTCGAGCCTCGCGTAGCAATTTGTCCTGCTGCAGGACTTTGTACAGGCTATTTTCTCCTCCTAGAAGACTTCTCCTCTCCTTAATGCCTCCTAGTTAACTCCAGCGCATACTTTAGTTTACAGCTCATCCATAGTTTCCTCCAGGAAGTCTTCCTTGACTTCATGGTCTAGATCAGGCATCTTTGCTACAGACTCGCTGAACTTTAATTTCTAACGGTTCCTTTGGGTGTAATTAGGCATTTGTGTATTTATTTGATTGTTGTCTTCCTCAACAGAATGAGAGCTGTGGAAGAGTGGTAATGTGTTTGTTTCTGTTCACCCTTATATCTCTAAGACTGAGTACAGCACTTGATAGTAAACACTCAATACATATTTGCCAAGTAAATAAATGAGGGAAGAAATGCATGAGTGAGTATGAATAAATGAATAAAAGTCTGCAGATGTAGTTCAAAGCTACTCATGATGAATATTGCTTTATCTCATTATTTATTTATTTATTTATTTATTTATTTATTTATTTTAGAGACAAGGTCTCACTCTGTCTCTCAGGCTGATTACGGCTCACTGCAGCCTTGAACTCCTGGGTTCAAGCAATCCTTCTGCCTCAGCCTCCCAAGTAGCCAGGACTACAGTCACATGCTATCATGCCTCACTAATTTTCTTTTGTTTTTTGTAGAGATGAGTGTCTCACTATATTGCCCAGATTGATCCCAAACTCCTGGCCTCAAGCAATCCTCCTGCTCGGTCTCCCGAAGTGCTGGGTAATAGGCATGAGACACCATCCTTAGCTAGTAAACTCATTTAAAATGTTCAATTTTAATGTTCTATAGCAGATACAAATATATAATATTTTACGTTATTTTTCATTATGTGAAATTGATAATCCTAGGAAACACATGTTCATCTGCGTGTAGCCTGCTGTACCTTCTGGCTTACCAATTTGTCTTCCCAGATATGATATATGTGTCTTAATTTTAGAAGCAAAGACTTTTGTGTGCCTGACATCACCCATACAATAGCTGAGAAATGGAAGTCAGGAGTGGATGACTTAGAGGGCATTTGGATCTCAGCTGAGGAGTGGGAGACGCAGAAAGATAATAGGGTTTTCCCAAGGTTACAGAGCTAGGTTTCTTTCTAGGTTTCTTTCTGCTTACATTTTATTGAGATTTTAAAAAATAAAAATCTTCCTGTCACCTTGGAGAGTGCATAAGAAAAGAAGTCTGGAAATGCTTCCTCCTATATTTGATCTTCAGGTTTGCTAGTTGGGTGCCTATTGGCAGTTGAACCTTGTTTTCCTCATCTGCAAAATGGGGTAAATAAAAGTATCTATTTCATAGGATTATTGTGAAGATTTAATACATGCAAAGCATTTAACATAGTGTCTGGTCCTTGGTAAGTGCTGAATAACATTTAGTGCCAAGCGCGGTGGCTCAAGCCTGTAATCCCAGCACTTTGGGAGGCCAAGGTGGGTGGATCATGAGATCAAGAGATTGAGACCATCCTGGTCAACATGGTGAAACCCCGTCTCTACTAAAAATACAAAAAATTAGCTGGACATGGTGGCGCGTGCCTGTAATCCCAGCTACTCAGGAGGCTGAGGCAGGAGAATTGCCTGAACCCAGGAGGTGGAGGTTGCGGTGAGCTGAGATCGCGCCATTGCACTCCAGCCTGGGTAACAAGAGCAAGACTCGGTCTCAAAAAAAAAAACCCCCAAAAAACAAAAAAAAAAAACCATTTAGTTGCTGTTGTTAATATTTGTGCTTGGAGCTTGGGGAAGAGAGAAATGGAGGAACTGACCTTGGCCTTCGAGGGGTGGGGACCTGAGACAAGATACTTCTACACATTAAACCTGAGAAAGACTAACTTCTTGCTTTGGTTCAAGAGGAAACTTCTCTGATATCCATTTGACTGTGTCTTTCTCCAGGAGTGGTTGAATCTACTGCCTTAGTCGTTTGGTTGAGACGACAAATTAGCCAGAAAGCATTTTTGTTCAACAACAGCCAGCAGGTGGCGGAGTTTGTGACAGCCAGGCCCTTGGTCATCATTGGCTTCTTCCAGGTACTGGGACCAAGAAGTGGGAGGAGGCTTTCAACTGGTGAGAAGTGCTGTGTCTGGGAGGGGGTGGGATAAAGAGACTCTTCTGTTTTGGTTGCCCAATTTTCTCCATCTAATGAGCTGGTTTTTAGGGGAAGCTCCAAGTGTTCAAATGAACAGGAATGAAGAGAAAAGAGAGAAGATTGGCATCTGTATTTAGTGGGTTTTCACAGTGTGGCTAATCTTTTTGGGGGCCCATTTAGAACATCACTGAACAAAATGATGTCTTAGTTTCTGGTTTTAGAGCCATTGTTATCTATGAATCTAAAGACCACCAGCCATGCTTTGGCCAGGCCAGTTTCTCTTCTTAACCTCTTTCCAAGCATCCTCATATATTAAAACCAATAGCACAGGATTAACATGCACCTGTTCAAAAATACACCGACCCTTATAGGTGCAGTACAAGATGTTTGGGGAAGAACATAAGTAACTTAGATATAATTATGAATTGTCCCATTATAGCCTTATTATTGATTTTTTATATTTATAAATAGCTTGCAAATTGCTTTTGCTTTTGGAGAATGAGTTTATTGTGTGTCTTAATTCACTTGCTATAAACTGGTGACTCCTCCCCTTCTCCCAATAGAAGGCAGAATTTGGGCATTATATTTAACACAGGGAGAATATCTGCCTCTCTCCCTCACCCCTTGTCACTTCTTTGAGAGGTGTTTGGCCTTTTCTTTCAAGCTAAAGAATGAAGGCTGAAATTCTTGATATTAAGTTTACATTTTGTATTACATGTGGTTTAATCAATTGCCTCTTGTGAATGCAACTAAGGAACAAATGTTCAGTCTCAATCCCTGAGTTAGAGCAGCCTTTAGTAATTAGAAAAGGTCCCATTGATCAATTCTCTTCATTGATCTCAAGGACTTCCCTATTTTGGCTTTAGTCATAGCCAGAGAAGCATTCTTAATATGAAATACTCATGAAAGAGGATTTGGGTGATCCAGCAAAACCCCAGAACTTAAAAAAGTGAAGAGACGAAGAGACGAATTAGCCACCACTGCCATCTTTCCCTTATATGAGCAAGGCACCTTGATTTCTACCAAAGCCTTACCAAACATTCTTTCCCAAACAGGATTTAGAGGAAGAAGTAGCAGAGTTGTTCTATGATGTGATCAAAGACTTCCCAGAGCTAACGTTTGGAGTGATAACAATTGGCAATGCCATTGGGCGTTTCCACGTCACCCTTGACAGCGTTCTGGTATTCAAAAAGGTAGGGCTTTGGTGCTATTGCTAGTGAGGGGATCTCTAGCTTAAAATAGTGGACTTGTATGAGCTTTGGGTACAAATTCTGGTTCTGCCATTTGTGAGCTCAGTGGCATTGGACTAGTTGACTTCTCTGAAGTCACAGTCTCCCAGTGTTGCTTCAGCCTTTCTAGCCATTTACCATCTTAAGCTTCTTATCTTTATTTAACCAGTAAATGAAATTCATCAAGGCTCAATCCTATGCCTTTTTTCTTTTCTACTCTGTGCTTCCACTTCCACCCTTCATCGGCAGTTACCATCTATGGCTATACACACATGACTTGTAAGTATCCATCTCCCGTGAGACTTCTCTAATCTGCAGACCCTTATGTGCAACACCATGTTGATGACAAGACAACCCTTGATGTCTCAACATGGCTAAGCCCAAAGTCATAATCTCCTCCCCAGGTCCTCTCCCAGTGTTTTCTCTCTTGCTCAAGGAGTGATGCAACTACCTCTCCCATTCAGTTAAACAAGCCAGAAAACCCAGACAACATTCTAACACTTCCCTCTCCTTCACCGCTCATATGCAATCCATCACCACAACCTGACTGATTTTATGACCAAAATATTCCTTTAACCTATTCATTTCTATCTCTATTGATACCATCATATATAAAGTATATGAAAAAAGACAATAAGCCTTAGTCCAAAGATTTAAGACCAGCCTAGGCAGCATAGTGAGACTACAACTTTGCAAAAAAAAAAGTTACTCGGGCATAGTGGCAAGTGCTTGTACTCAGCAGGCCGAGGCAGGAGGATTGATTGAATCTGGGAGGTTGAGGCTGCAGTAAGCTGATCACACCACTGCACTCCAGCCTGAGCAACAGAACAAGACCTTGTCTCAAATAAATAAATAAATAAGATAAAAGAAAACTTTAGACAAGTTAAACTGAAGAGTTTAAAGAACAATTCATGAATCAGGCAGCCTCCCAAGCCAGCATAGGCTTAGACAGACTCCAGCAAAGCCACATGGTGGAAAAAGATTTATGAACAGAAAAAGCAAAGTGATGCACAGAAAAGAGAGGTCAGGTTCAGAAACAGTCAGATTGGTTACAGCTCAGTGTTTGCCTTATTTTAACATGGATTGAACTGTTTGCCTTATTTTAACATGGATTGAACAGTTGGCCACCTTTGATTGGCCAAAACTCAGTGATTGGCACAAGTGGAGGCTATGACAGTCTATTTATACCTCCATTTAGCTTATAGTTCACTATATACAGAGAAACGTTTAGGCCAAATTTAAAACATGTAAGGAGGCAGCTTTAGGCTAAACTTGATTTAACCCCTATCAGAGAAGTCCTGAATCTCCCAGGAACGGGCTTGTCTTAATATGCCTGAGACATCAGTCATCGGTTGGGAGTAGTATGTGAGAAACTGCTCAGCCTTTGCACAGATATTTTTTTTTTTTTTGAGACAGAGTTTCGCTCTTGTTACCCAGGCTGGAGTGCAATGGCATGATCTCAGCTCACCGCAACCTCCGCCTCCTGGGTTCAGGCAATTCTCCTGCCTCAGCCTCCTGAGTAGCTGGGATTACAGGCACGAGCCACCATGCCCAGCTAATTTTTTGTATTTTTAGTAGAGACGGGGTTTCACCATGTTGACCAGGATGGTCTCGATCTCTTGACCTCGTGATCCGCCCGCCTTGGCCTCCCAAAGTGCTGAGATTACAGGCTTGAGCCACTGCGCCCGGCTGCACAGATATTTTAATATTTGATGGATTACAGAGCATGACAATGGCTGGGGCTGTTAAGTCAATTATACTCTTTGTGGCTTGCCATAGATCTGATATTTTCATGACTGTCAGCTACCCAGATTCCACCCACAGACTAATCTGGCCAGCCTCTCCTAGTTATTAACTACCTAGATTACAGACTGCACCTACCACCATTCCTCAGTGTTTTCCTTTTATCCAAGGGGAAAATTGTGCTATTTATATTTATTAAGTGCCTATATCATGAAAGCTACTGTCCTCCAATGTGTTTCTCTCTTTGTCCAAGGGAAAAATTGTGAACCGCCAAGAGCTTATTAATGACAGTACCAACCAAAAGGAACTCAACCGTGTCATAAAACAGCACCTTACAGATTTTGTTTTTGAATACAATAGTGAGGTCAGTGAGTAAAGGGTCCCTTGAAGAAGGGGAGCTGGGACCGCCGTGTGTGCTTAGAATGACATATTTTCCTGGTCATTTCAGAATAAGGATCTGATTTACGAGTTGCACATCATGAGTCACATGCTGCTCTTTGTCTCCAAAAGCTCTGAGTCGTATGGTATCATAATTCAGCATTACAAGCTGGCATCAAAGGAATTCCAGAACAAGGTGGGTAGAGTGCACCATTGCTCTTTGGGACTCCTGGATGAGGCTCCAAGACCTGCAGACCCTGAGCCCATTTGCCTGCCCTGCCTATTATAAGTCGAATCAGGAAAGATTGGCGTGTGCAATTGCCTGCAGTTTTCTGATTTGCACATCAATGCCACATATTATTTACTATTTAATTTGAAATATGCCTCCTCCATTTTTCCTGCCCAATGTCTCTTCCATGCCAAATCTACACTCCCTTGGTTGTCTGTATAAGAAGTCTACTCTGAGAACATGAAGGTTTGCCTGCTTTTCTAATGGACCCCTAAGTGGACTCTGTATCCTAAGAGTAGTATCATTTGGCCCAGAAATGGGAGGAGGAAAGACCACTACTGTCTGAGGTCAGGGAACATGAAAGCCTGAAGGCAGGAAGCAGCCACACATTGGCAAGTAATTGCTAAGATTCTGGGCTTTAACATTGTACAGACCCAAGTTCAAATTCTCTTTCTCTGGCAAACTGCACTGCTTTAGTCGAATTTCTTAACTCCATGCTGACGTCTCCTCATGTATGAAATGGACAGTTGTGTACAAATTAGAAAATATATATGTAAAGCAATGAGCCTTACAATCAATGGGGTTTTTTATTACTATCATCATCCCATTAGAAACAAATGTTTCCCCTAAGCGCTATTTCTATATTTAATGTAGTTAGTAGTACCTGAGCTCTCGAAGCTATTTGATTTATTTTTCTGTTCATCTTTATAGGAAGTATAATCATGGCAGTTTTTTTCTCTTTTGAAAAATTATTCTGAAATTAAATAAAACAATTAAAAACTTTGTTACCTAAAATAAAGCCACTAGAGTATAACATATGTAATGTTCATGCTATATCCCACCACATTATTTTCAAAGAAGATGGTTTGAATCACAGAAGTAATTCCTCTTGTTAAATATATTTCTTGGAATCTTTTTTCCAGTTTTACTCTAAGATTTTTGATGTAGTTAAATTGATTGTAACCTGATTGCTTTCCCTCTATTCCTCCTATTTTATAGTAGTCAATACTTAGCCATTATTTTCTTTTATTTTTTTAATAAGTCTTTAGTCTTCCTGGAATTTACTTTGGCTTATATCAGAAGATGAAGTTCTAAATTGCAGTCACCCTAGTGAGTTTCCACAATGCCTTTTACTGATTGTGATCCATTTCACAGTCAACGACAAACAGTTGAATTAGTACTGTTTCAACAGATCACACCTCTTATCTTGTTCACCTCTGTGCTCCAGTGTCAACGGAAGGTAGCAAATATTTGTTGAAAGTACACAAGGATGGTTTTAATATGTTTGCTTTGTTTTTCAATTTCTCTGGCACCTAAAAGAGTAGCACACAGTGGGGACTTTAATCTGATGAATGAATGACCTGAAAGTATCTGACCCTAGGTGGCTGCGGTGGCCTCTAATTCATGTCCTTGCTTCCACTTTTGCTTTTTCTCTGCAGCCAGAATGACCTTCTAAACATTATTATCGTGTCACTTTCTAGCTTACCATCCTTCAGTGGCCTTCTGTTATGTTCAGACTAAACCCAAACTGCTTACTGGACCTCGTCTTCAACAGTCTCTGACCGTGTCTCCTTTGTCTCTCTCCTTCATGGTGCTGAAGCTATTACTGGAGAGGGGTCCTGATCCAGACCCTAAGAGAGGTTCTTGGATCTCGTGCAAGAAAGAATTCAAGGCCAGTCTGTAAAGTGAAAGCAAGTTTATTAGGAAAGTAAAGGAATAGAGAATGGCTATTCCATAGACAGAGCATCCCTGAGGGCTGCTGGTTGTCATTTTTATGCTAAACAAGAAGTGGATTTTTCATGGTTCCCCTTTTTAGACCATATGGGGTAACTTCCTGACATTGCCATGGCATTTGTGAACTGTCTTGGTGCTGGTGGGAGTGTAGCAGTGAGGACGACCAGAGGTCATCTCATGGCCGTCTTTGTTTTGGTGGGTTTTGACCGGCTTCTTCCCTGCAACCTGTTTTATCAGCAAGGTCTTTATGACCTATATCTTGTGCCAACCTCCTATCTCATTCCATGACTAAGAATGCCTAAACCATCTGGGAAAGCATCCCCGAAGGCTGCTTTCTCAGCCTCATTTTACCCAGCCTCTATTTAAGATGGAGTTGCTCTGGTTCAAACGCCTCTGACAAAGCCACACTGACTGCTCTTTTCTATTCCCAGAACACTCTAAGTACTTTGGGTGTTTGTTTTGTTCCCAGGCCTTTGCAATGGCAGTTTCCACCACCCAGAATACTGTTCTGTGACTTGTTACTATCAATTATGTCCCAGCTGAAATATGACGTCCTCAGGTTCTCCTCCTGACCACCCTACCTAATCCAGAGCCCCATACCTTACCCCATCTGGGCAGTTACTTTCCATCACATTGCCCTGTTTTATTGTCTAATTGGCTCTCATTGCTGTTTGACTTCATGAGTTCATTCATTCATTTGTTGTCTGTCTTCTCCACTAGAACATAAGCTCCCTGAGGGCAGGGGTTTTTGTCTGTTTTCGGCAGGGTTGTGTCCCCAATGCTTAGCAAAAGCTCACACATACTAGGCACTCCATGAATTTTGTTGAATGAATGAGTGAATAAAGTCATGAATTTCCTTGATAGAATAATTTTGAATAATAATAATAATTGTCACATATTAAACACTTAACTACCTGCCAGTCCCTGAACTAAGCCTTTCCATACATTGTCCTGTTTAATTGTCACAGCAACCCTAGAAGATAGTCATTATTATAATCATTTTACAGATAAGGAAACTGATGAAACAGTTTGAAGCAAAATGAAAGCCCAGGGCTTTCTGACTTCCTGAAGTTGTGTGGATGGAGCACAGCACAAGGAGGCTGCTGCCTGCTCTGCGTTTGGGTGCAGAGCTGCACCTGCCTTTGCTACGTTTTGCAGAAGTGCTCCACAGACCCCATCGAGTGCATACCCTTAGTCCACAGCATTCCTACAGTTTTCCCTCCATTGGCAAAGGATACAGAGAGACAAGGGTTTCGTTTACTTTGCCAGATCCTTTTCATCCTTGTGGATACAGATGAACCCAGAAACGGACGTGTCTTGGAGTACTTCCGGGTCACAGAGGTCGATATCCCCTCTGTCCAAATCCTAAATTTGAGCTCTGACGCCAGGTACAAAATGCCTTCAGATGACATAACCTATGAAAACCTCAAGAAATTTGGCCGCAGCTTCCTGAGTAAAAATGCCAAGGTAGGTTTGTTCTGGGACAAGGTGGATCCAGAACCTCAAAATCATCTCCTTCTCGTAATTTTGCTGGCTTTGATAATTCTCCTCACCTGTATGTGGAGGCATAATAAAGATCAACTTTGTGGCTCAATATGGGGAAATCCCTCATCTCCCCACCTCAAATCTATCCAACTTCTAACCTAACCCAAGCCTTTAATTCCTCCACTCATTCTCAGTTGTAAAGTGGAGGCATTTCCTTTGCAGGAATTTGCAATGCACTCAGTAGGTTTAATTTGCCATCTCAAAGGAGGCTTTTCTCATATCAGCTCCAATGTGAAAGATCTACTTGGTCCAAGAGTAGATGATTGATTTGAGGGGAGAAGGGGGATGAAGCCAGGGGGCAATCAGGATTTGGCCTAAAAAGCTTTAAGAACCTTTTGGTTGGATGTGGCTGAAAGGGGGCTAGTCTATTTCACTGACAGGGAGGAATGGCTGCAGAAACACATGGAACACGTCGTCACCCACTGTCTGTGTCTCCACAGCTACTCTGCTGAGTCAGGTAACCATATTATTTATTTTCCAAATTGGGACATAATGGGAGTAAAGGAGGAATTTAAAAAATACATATTCTGGAATGGGCTGGGTGTGGTGGTTCATGCCTATAATTTGAGCACTTTGCAAGGCCGAGGTAAGAGAATTGCTTGAGCCCAGGAGTTCGAGACCAACCTGGCCAATGTAGCAAGTTCCTGTCTCAATAAAAAATTTAAAAATTAGCCATGCATGGTGGTGTGCATCTGTAGTCTCAGCTACTTGGGAGGCCAAGGCAGGAGAATTGCTTGAGCCCAGGAGATCAAGACTGCAGTGAGCTATGATCACAGCACTGTACTCTAGCCTGGGCCACAGAAGAAGACCCTGTCTCAAAAAAAAAAAAAAAAAAAAAAAAAAAAAAAAAAAAAAAAATTCTGGAACAATAGAAGTAAATTAAGACTCTGCAGACAAACCCAAATGATGGTCTGCTTAACTATGAGTCTTCTACTGCCCTCTGTTCATTCCCCTAGAGACATATCTGCCCCTGCAGCCTTTCTCTGCGGAAGCTGTCTTGTGTGCACAGCATTTTCATGGGGCCAAGTGGTGAGGCTGCTGTCCTTCTTGCCACTTCCAGCCCATTTCTCCTTCTTCCACCTTCAGAAGCCCCCAATGCCTTGGATCCTATGCTCTTTCACTTTAGACCCTGTGCTTCCCCTGCCTCGTTGCTGTCCTTTGACTACCTCCCTTCACTCTCTGAGGACTTAAGCTCCTGATGGCAGCCTTTCCCTAAGCCCCAACTCTCCCATCATTCCCAGAGATGTCAGTGTCCACAACCCTCCTCTCTCTTCTCCAGTGGTTGGTGTGTCCATGCCATGTCAGCTCCCTGTTCTCATGACCACAATCTGGAGATTGCAGCACCTCCCAATGCCTGACTTTCCCCTCCAGGACACACATGGCTATGATTCCTCACCTTTCTCATTGCCTCCAACCTCCTGACCTCGTGATTCATCTGCCTCCAACCTCCTGACCTTGTGATTCACCTGCCTCAGCCTCCCAAAGTGCTGGGATATAGGCATGAGCCACTGTGCCCGGCTTAAAGCTTCTTTTTGTAAAATCCGAGAATCCAGCCCAGTTCAAAGCTTTGTCTGCTCCTTAGTCCCCTGATCCCATTTCTCTTTAGTGCCTACTCTGTGAACTTGCATTATATCATTCATTGCTCTGATGATGATTCTTTTAACTCCTTTATCTCCTCCATCTTCTACCTCCTCTACACCCCATAGTACTCACCAGGCAAAGTTCCAACTCTAGTTGAACCCCTTTAACTTCCCTGCTTCCAGACCAATATCACCATGACACTGGCTGGCTTCATGGAGTTGCAAACCAGCCTCCCGTGGACTCTGAGAAATGTCCTGGCATCCATATGGAAATTTCTGTTAGCGTGTTCATTTTTAAATCTCAGAGTCTCTCTCTCCTCATACCCTATTCCCACTCACTCTCAGCTGAGTTCTCTACCACTAGATCACTAAGAAAATAGATGTCTTCACATTGGGGCCTCCTCGCTTTCCATCACCACATCTCAAATCGTACCTGGAATACTACCCATCCTCTCTCTCTTCCTTGCATTTAGATCTGAGATGGTGTCTGTCTCCCTTTCAAAGGCCAACACATCTTCTTGTGCTGTTAGAGCAGAAATGGTCATCCTCTATGAGATCTATGAGATCCACCTGATCCAACCCATTCCCAATTCCCCACAATTGTCACCATTTTCTATTTCCCATGCCCCAGGGTTGCCCCATTTCTACTCCCACTGAAAACATCTTTAAGTTCTTTCCAGAGGCTGGAGGGGGTGCTGTGAGGGAGGACACTGTGGGAGAAGGGATTGTGAGCCAGACAGAGGCTGCACAGCAAGGGCCTCTAAGCATATTAAGAATCTGGTTTCCTAAGAGCAATGAGAAGCTAGATTTGCATGGTGAAAACAGAGCCCTGCTTGTAGACAATAAAGGTGTGGAGGGATTGGAAGGAGACATAGGGAGAACATCTGGAGTCTCTTCTGGAAATCAAGATGAGAGATAGAGGCTACCTGGATTTGGTCAGCAACAGCGCAGATGGAGGAAAGGATGTGCCATTCAGGAGGCAACGGTTGTAGATAAAACATATGTTTTGAGATTTCCAACCCTTACTTCAAAGAGAAGAAAAAGCTGAGCTCATTTTTTATTCATTCATTTGCAAAACATTTATTGAGGACCCACTATGTACCAGGCAGTGGATACTCAATAGTGAGGAAAGAAAAATTTCTTATGACCTTCTGTCTAGTGTGGTAGAGACACATTAATCAAATAATCAGAAAAATAAATATAAATAGCAAAAGTGAATAAGTGATACCAAAAAAATGCTGAGTATTATGAGAATTTATGGCAGCGAGTCCTCATCTGGATCAGGGAAGCATCAAGGAAGTCCTCCCTTGGGTCATTCTGAAGCATACATTTTAAGTTACCCAGATGAAGAAGGGAGAGTAAGAATCAGGAGTGGGGGAGGCCTGCCAGGCAGAGGGAACAGCATTAACAAAGGCCTGAGCTGGAAGAACGCTGGTCATTTGGATAAGCTGAAGGTTATTGGTTCCTGCAATAAAGAAAGTCTTTTCTTTTCTTTCCTCAGCCATAACCAACATGGCTGAGGAAAGAAAAGAAAAGACTTTCTTTATTGCAGGAATCAATCAGAGTGTGATCAAGGTTATATACATTGTGTAAATGGTCTTGGTCTTGATTCTTAAAGTAATTGAGGACAACTAATTTTTTTTTTTTTTTTTTTTTTGAGCTAGAGTCTTGCTTTGTCAACCAGGCTGGAGTGCTGTAGCACAATCTTGGCTCACTGCAACCTCCACCTCCCAAGTTCAAATAATTCTCTTGCCTCAGCTTCCCGAGTAGCTGGGATTACAGGTGCATGCCAGCACACCCCACTAATTCTTGCTTTTTTTTTTTTTTTTTTGGCAGAGATGGGGTTTCACCATGTTGGCCAGGCCGGTTTCAGACTCCTGACCTCGTGATCTGCCTGTGTTAGCCTCCCAAAATGCTGGGATACAAGCATGAGCCACCACGCCCAGCTTAGAGCTTCTTTTTATAAAATCTGATAATCCATCCCAGTTTGAAGCTTTGTCTGCTCCTTAGCCCCCTGATCCCAGTTTGCCCTGAAGCATCCAGGTTGACATCAAGCTCATGATCCAGCTCAGTATTTCAAAATCTTTCCTAAGGCTTTTGTGAAAAAACGCAAGAAAATCTTTAGTTGTTTCCAATCAGGGTGGGGAGCCTTACAACTTCGAATCCCTTTTGAAGATTCTTAGGCCTCTCAAATATGCTTCCTAGAAACATCAATCCAGTGAAGAGATTCCAAAATATTGGGACCAGGGACTGGTTAAGCAGCTCGTGGGGAAGAACTTCAACATAGTCGTCTTTGACAAAGAAAAGGATGTGTTTGTGATGTTCTGTAAGTACCTCAAGAATGGCTGGGAGGCAACGGGTGCCAACATTGGGTTTCCAATGTTTCTTCTGAATTCTTGGGCCCTGAAATCTCTAAAACACATCAATGCACCATGCCAAGGATGGTCTTCAGATGCCCAAATAGAAGGACTCAAGATGTTACCAGGAACAATGCAACCTTGTCCCCCAAAAATGTAATTTTTAGAATGTATGCAGTGCCTTCCACATAACCCAGGCCTGCAGCCATTTGTAAAAGCTAGAATGCCGATGGCTAATGATGCTTGATTGGGTGCTGTAGTATGCTGGGCTTCATTCTAAGCCATTGCATACATTACCTCATTTAATCCTTACCACATCCTTTCGAAAGTAGCTACTGTCATTGCTCTGACTCTGCAGATGACTAAATAGAGTCTCTAGGAGGTGAAGAAATTTTTTCCATTATCCTGCATCCAGTAAGTGCTGTCACTGGGATTTGAACTATTCTGATTCTAGCACCTATACTCCTAACTGCTGAACAGGATTTCTTTGCTTCTGGCTTTAGATGACTTATCAAATGGCCCCTATAAGGTAGGGACCCCAATCCTTCATGTACAGTACTTAGCATAGTGTCTAGCATATTGTGAGGACTTGACAAATGATCATTGCTATTGCTGTTGTTATTTCTATCATTATAATTACTTCTAGGGCTTACCTAGGGACTTTTGCCCTTTTCCCACTGTTTCCAATTTGCGTGCAACAGACGTTACACGCGAGAGACATTCTCGCCCACCCTGAGACACAGAGAAAGGTGATACGGAAGTTCTTTCAGACATCTCTTTTATTTTAACATTTAATGCACACTTACAATGAACCAGGCACGAATTTGCTGTTGACACACCTGATCTAATGAGCTGTGTAACAACAAGTTTGTGAGGAAGTTATGGTGGTTGTCCCCATGTTACAGGTCAGGGAACCCCACCTCAGAGAGGTTAATGACCTTACTCTAGGTCACACAGTAAGTTGCAAGGCAAGAAGTTTAAAACAAGCTCTGATGCCATTACCTCCTTGAGGGTAAGACAAGAGTTACACTGCATCATACAGGCCTTTTACAATCACTCTGAAATGGACTGTTATTCACAGAGTGAGGCACTTAAGGTCTGTGGCTGAATCACAAAGATCTGCTGCCTTTAAATGAGAGGCTAGGTGCAGCTATTCTGTACTTAGGGGACACCCAGAGTTATGAGACTGTCCATTTCATTCTGATAAAAGGCAAAAGCAGCTTCATTTTCTTGGAAGTAGAACCATGGGATTGGCCCCCTAGGGCTGCAGCCATTATGCCCCCTCCTGTTCTGAACCAGGACCCGCTGAGTGCTAGGGGTCTGCCAGAGATGTCGCATGCAGGGCAGATGGCTGTGGAGAAACTTGGCTTGTAAATGGGGGATGATCATCCAAAGGCGGTGTGTCTGGGGGCTTTTGAGGCCACTTCTCTTACAGAGCTAGAAACTGAGCTTTGAGCTCTAATAGAAGCACAAGCAGGGAAGGTTCGCTTTCCCTTGGGTTGGAGCAGTTCTCTGGTTTCCAGAGGGCCAGGAGCCTGGACCACACTCAGAGACCAAAGAACTCTCCACAAGAAAGTTCAGTGTCCCCTATCCAAGAGTAGTTATGCCTGTCATATTTCTTGAGGATGTTTTCTTCTGAATTATATAGGTAAAATTACATAACATGTAATTACATATACATGACAAGGCATAACATAATGTATATGTTATATTAATGTTATGTTGTGTTATATTATGTTATGTTGTATTAATGTTATGTTATGTCATATTAATTCCTACCTGTGGTATAGTGATCACAAGTCAAATCCCCACTTCCTCTGCTTCATTACTCTGGTTTGAAAAGTACAATTACTATATAACTTTGGGCAAGTGCCTTTACCTTTATTGTGGAAAATCCCTGTGCTGTAACACATATGCGCACACAAACACACACACACCCACACATGTACACTTTTTGGCAGAACATAAAAAGTCATCTAGCATAAATATTGTTCTTGGCTTTCTTCTACTAGAGTGGAACGCTATGTTAAAAGAAAGGAATTAGAGAGAGAGAGAGAAAGCAAGCTGGGCACAGCAGCACAAGCCTGTAGTTGCAGCAATTCAGGAATCTGACATAGAAGGATTGCTTGAACCCAGGAGTTTGAGTTTGAGCTCTACCTGGGCAACATAGCAAGACATTGCCTCTAAAAAGGAAAACAAAAATTAGAAAAAAACATGAACACACTAAAGTGTTAGTATTTGGCTGGAAGAGGGCTAAGACTTTTTTTTTTTTTTTTTTTTTTTTTTTTGAGATGGAGTCTTGCTCTGTCACCCAGGCTAGAGTACAGTGGTGTGATCTTAGCTCACTGCAACCTCCGCCTCCCGGATTCAGGCGAGTCTCCTGCCTCAGCCTCCTGAGTAGCTGGGATTACAGGCACGTGCTACCTTGCCTGGCTAATTTTTGTATTTAGTAGACACAGGGTTTCACCATGTTGATCAAGCTGGTCTCAAACTCCTGACCTCATGATCAGCCCGCCTTGGCCTCCCAAAGTGCTGGGATTACAGGCATGAGCTGCCATGCTCAGCCTATCAAATAGCAATCGTGTACTACAGCATAACATAATATATATGCCATAACATATATGCCATATATATTATGTTATGTCATAGTATGGCTGAATGTTACACAATAGTATGACTGAATGTAAGTGTAAAAATAACCTAATATATGATTAAAAGAAAGAGGGAGTACCATTGGCAAAACAGCAGGACCACAAGTGGAAGATAGTGATGCCATGTGTGGGGTGGCGCCAGCTTTCAGGGTCTTCATCAGTGTGAGCCTGAGCCACTGTCCTCTTCCAGATGCTCCCTGGTCTAAAAAGTGCAAGATGCTGTTCCCGCTGTTGGAGGAACTGGGAAGAAAGTATCAAAACCACTCCACAGTCATCATTGCCAAGATCGACATCACAGCGAATGACATTCAGCTGATGTACCTGGACCGGTACCCATTCTTCAGGCTGTTTCCCACCAACTCTCAACAAGTGAGAATCTCTTGGGATGTACACGTGGCTGTAAACAATCTTATGTTATCATCAGGGACTCAGCTTCTCCCAACCTCTAGCTGCATTTTCTACCAAACCAGTTTTATTCTCAGCTGCAGCCACTATTCGTCCTCTCACATTCAAGCTCAAAGAATATTTTCCAGTAGTTTGCACTAAAGCCCTGAGACTCACTGTCATTGGATGTAGCTTGCATATCCCTGACCCAATCACTGTGGCCAAGTGGATGTGGGTGTTTTGATGGGTACACCTGGCTTATATGCTTCCCACTAGTATTGGGGTTGAGCTCTACCCTAACTATATGAAGTAAGATGGGGGGCATCTCCATGGGAATATTGGATGTGGGGGATTACCAGGTGAAGGAAAAAATACCTGCTAGAGATGAACAATGTCATTTCCATCTTGGGATTACAGTCATTAACCATAACCAGTGTTGACAGAACCCACTCTCCATGCCATGTCCGTGCATGGGAAAGAACATTAATCAAAGAAATGTGAGCCCAGCTCCCTGCTCTTTAGAAGAGTATGGATGAATGTGATTGAAACTGAGGGGGAGGAAAAGATTCTGGAGGGCAGATATGGCTGCGAGTCTCCATGCAGACCTAGGACTCTGGAGGAGGGTGGGGACTTCCATCAGGTTAGAGGAGCGGCCATGCATGACAGGTAGGAATTGTAGTCTGAACAAAGAGGTGGACAGAAGGGTGGCCCCAGCACTGTGACAAGATGCCATCATGACCCACTCTTTGTTCAGAATGCACTGCAGAGGATGCACGTGGGGGAGGTGAGCAACAGGCAGGGCTGAGAGGATGAGGGTAAGATCATAATCTCGAATTATCTGAAAAGAAGTTTAGATGACCCATGAGCAATAAGCAGCTTCTGAACTTCCCTAAAGAGCAAAAGGAATTTGTGATAACTGAGCACTGACCACATGCCAGATATTTCTGAAAATAACTATTCTTCCTGTTATTACTGTCACTATTATGGTAATAGTAATAATAATAATAATAATATGAAAACACAGAGTGCTCATCACGAACCAGGCACTGTTTTCAGCACTTCACATATACTACCTCATTTTCTCCTTATAACAACCCTAGGGGGTAGGTACTACTTTACCTCCATATTACAGTTAGGAAAATTGAGTCAGAGAAATTACATAACCAGACCACACTGCAGTAATGCAACCAAAATTTAAGGCTTCCGTGTGTGGTTTTACAGTCCATGCTTTGATCCACTCCATAGCAATCCTGCGATAGAAGCGTTTTTATTTTCCTTATCTTGGAGCCATGGCACTGGAGGCTCAGAGAGGTTAAAGAACCTACATAACATACCCAGTTGTCAGGAATTTGACCCTGTGTTTATCTAGGTAGCAGTCCTTGAGGATCTCTGGAAGAGGCTCCCATCCTGACCCTGTTCTATTTCTTCCTAGGCTGTCCTGTATAAGGGAGAACATACTCTGAAGGGCTTCTCTGACTTCCTGGAAAGCCACATCAAAACCAGAATTGAGGATGAGGATGAGGTAAGGGGCAACAGAAACATCCTGGATTATTCTGTCCCACACAGAATCCCTAGAAACTCAAAGGAAAACAAAAGACTACTTGGAGTTCCAAAATCTCATGAGATAGTGATGGGATTCTGTCCTCTGGCATTACTCTCCTGATGCATGGGACCACAGTCCCCCTTCTCCCCTAGCCATGCCTCAGCAAGTCCCTCTGCTGGATGGTGTTGTCTGTATTAATTAGGACTTTGTGTTGCAAATTTCAGACACTACTCTTGGCTTTAAGCGACAGTGGGAATTTATCCCATATAACTGGTAGAACATCAGGTGTGAGTGGCTCCAGAACCCACACCTGCTTTCTGTCTTCCCATCTCTGTTCTCCGGTATGTTGGTTTCACTCTCAAGTAGTCATTTCCCCACGAGGTTCAAAGATTACGCCACAGCTCCAAACTAACATCTTCCCAGTATAGAAAGCAAGCATCTACTTTTTAGACGTTCCAGAAAATGTCCTGGACAAGGATCTCATTAGCTAAGATTTGTCACCTGTCCGGTCCAGGAGCTAGTGGTGCAAGAGCCACATTTATAGACTCAGAACCTTTGTTTCCCTAAAGGTCCTCTTACCTGAAGGGTGAAACCACAGTTGGGCACTTTATCATCCAAACCAAATGAACCTTTAGCATCTATGAAAACCCTGCAGGCCAAAGACTGATTATCTCTGGGAACTTTCAGAAAAAGTGTCCTTGACTGTTAAAACCCAATGATCTTGCCTCTTTATTTCTTTCTCTTTTTCTTCCCTCCCTCCTTTCTACCTTCTACGTCTTCTTTCATAGCTATTGTCTGTTGAGCAAAACGAAGTGATAGAAGAGGAAGTGCTAGCTGAAGAAGAGGAGGTGCCTGCAATGAGGAAAGAGTTACCTGAACAGCAGTTGCCTGAGCCGGAGAACGTGACCAAGCCTGTGTCCAAGCTGGAAGAACCAGCTGGGAAGAAGAGAACACCTGAGGAGGTGGTGGTGGTGGTGGCGGCTAAGCCAAAGGGACCTCCAACTCAAAAGAAGAAACCGAAAGTCAAGGAAGAACTTTAGCTCCTCCAAGGAAACAAGGTGCCCATTTTTGATTCCAATAAAAGCATATAGCATTGTGGAAGGCTAGGTGGGGGCTGGGTAATAAAGCCTCTGAATGTCCTTGGCTCTGTTTTACTCATGACCTCTTTTTCCTGGTTGGTGCTCTCTTAGAAGAATGGTTTGACCTGGAATTCAGGCAGGACTGCGAGGGGAGCCACAGTAGCAACATTCAACAAGTGTGTGTAACATGCTCAGCATTCATTTAGTTCTCACAAGACCACTGAGCTGGAGCTCATTATTCCCATTTTATAGATGGGAAAACTGAGACACAGAGAGGTTAAGCAACCACGTAGGAACACAAAGCTAGAAAGCTGTTGAGATGCAACCAATCCCAGGCAATCACACTCCAAAGACTGTGCACTTAACCACTATGCTACCATCTCCCACCAGGTTAGGTGTTCCCAGAGTTTGGCTAAGTCTTTCAAATGAAGTAGACTGATTGGCTTACACTGCATTTGGGCACAGTAAGAAAATGATCGAATCCCAAACCTGTCCCCGGACTTCCACATCTCAGTAAGTGGCCCATTCGTTCAATCACGTCAGAATCATCATCAGCTGCCTTTTCCTTTTTTCCTTCCTTTCTTCCTTTCCTTCTTTTTTTTTTTTTTTTTTTTTTTTTTTTCAGACAGGGTCTCACTCTGTCACCCAGGCTGGAATCCAGTGGCACTAACATGGCTCACTGCAACCGCAATCTCCTGGGCTCAAATAATCCTTTTGTCTCAGCCCTGCAAGTAGCTGGGACTGCAGGCACGCATCACCATGCCCAGCCAATTTTTGTATATTTTTGGAGTGATGAGGTTTCACCATGTTGCCCAGGCTGCTCTCGAACTCCTGAGCCCAGGCAATGCACCTGTCTTGACCTCCGAAAGTGCTAGGTTCTACTGCCTTCTTTCACTACTGTAAAAGTAGCTTATCCATCCATGTGATCCCACCCACTTCCCTGCATCTCCAAGTGATTGTCACCCACTATTTCTCAGCTGCAGTCTCCTAACTGGTCTTTTTGCTGCCACTTTGTACCTCCCTCCCAGCCCTTACCCCATACCCCTCCGTATTCCATACAGGCACTGAGGTCACCTTTTGAAAAGCTAGCCCTAAGCACTTATAATCTTGTTTAATACTATAATGCAGGGGTCCCCAGCTTCCCAATTGTTGACGAGTATGGGTAAGTGTCCTATTAGGAACCTGGCAGCACAGCAATAAGTGAGCCGTGGGTGAGCAAGCATTACCACCTGAGCTCTGCCTGAATATTAGATTCTCACAGGAGTCCGAACCCTATTGTAAACTGGGCATACGAGGAATCTAGGTTGCCAGCTCCTTATGAGAATCGAATGCCTGATGATCTGGCATTAGATCTATGCCATGGAATGGTTTCTTCCCATTTCTTATTTCCCAGTTTCATACCATTTCCCTCCTGAGCTCCCCACCACACCCCCTACCCCCCAAACCTTTCCACCCCCAACCTTGGAAAAATCATCCTCCAGTAAACCAGTCCCCAGTGCCAAAAAGTTTGGGGACCACTGCTGTAATGGCATCTTTATTGCTTTTAGAATAAAATCTGGTCTGCCTACCACGCCATCAACACCGAAAGATTTTGGCCTCATAGATCTCCTCCTCTTCCTCTCCCCCCACATTCTAGGCTCCAGCCACACTTCCTGTATACTCTATGAACAAGCCAAATTCACTGTCTCCTCATGTTCCCTCTGCCTAAATGCACTCCCTTCAGAATACACTCCCCAGGTCCTCACACAGCTGTGTCCTTTTCATGGTTCAAGTCTCAGCTCACCTGTCACTACCTCCAAAAGGCATTTCTGGAGATCAATATCTGAAAGCATCTTACTATTTTGTTGTGCAATGATTTATTGCCTGATTCTCCAACTAATATGTAAGCCCCATGAAAGTAGATATGTCTGTTTTCTTTCTTGCTGTATTCCCTTTGCCTATAACTCTACTTGACACATGGTAGATGCTCAATAAATGCCCATGAATCAATGAAAAATTCCATATTAGGTAAGAGATACATAATTTCATAGTCACCCCAAAAGGCAGAGGTGCTGACAATGTTGTCTCCAGATCCAAATTAGAATCTGTATTAGTTCCCTATTGTTGTTCTGACAAATTAACACTTAGGAGCTTAAAACAACATGAACTTACTCTCTTAAGAGTTCTGGAGGCTAGACATTAGAAATCATTTCCGCTAGACTAAATTCAAGATGTCATCAGAGTTAATCCCTTTCAGATGAATTACCTGTTTTGCCTTTTCTAACTTCTGGGAGGCCCTGCATTCCTTGGTTCATGGTTCTGTTCTAGAATCACTCTGACTTTTTGTTTCACCCGCACACCTACTTTCTCTGACTCCTCCTGCATCACTTTTATAAGTACCACTGTGATCGCATCTAGCCTGCTCAGACAACCTCTCCATCTCAAGGTCCATTATCACACTTGCACAGTCCCTTTTGTCATATAAGGCAACACTCACAGGTTTGGGGATTCAGATGTAGATGTATCTGGAGGTCACTATTCAGCCTAACACAGATTTACCTCACTGATTTATGTCATTTATTTCAGCCAGGACTTCTCTTGAGAAAAGGAGGACAGTATTCTTTTAGAAATTGAGGTCTCCAGAAACCACCTGAGTCTCCCCATTCCTCACCCATCACATGAAGCAAAGACTGTTTATGGTTTTTAAGATCTCCAGAACCAGCTCCCATACCCCTCACCCCGGACCTGGCCTGTTCACAACTGGAGGAAGCAGGGAACAGCCTGCGGCTCTGAAACTCACCTGAGCCGCATTCCCCGACAGGAGCAGGTGTTAGTATTCAGGACACGGCATGAGGCTCACCTGCCTCAGCCTTGAGGCCATGTGGCTGCCAGTTGAAGGAGGGTTATGTGGGGGTTGCCTAGACCAGATCATGTGGCATAGAACCCCTGACCAGCCACGAGCCAGAGAATGAGTGTGCCACTTGCAGGTTCCCTGGGCGTATCTGGAGCCTCAGGAGGTGTGTGCTCAGAGAGGTGGGTGGGACAGGTGCTACCCCTCTGTTGGGGGTTCTTCTCTCTTGGCTCATTTTTGCCCCTTTCTGACACACACCAACCTCTCATTCTAATTCTTTGTGTTTTGTTTGATCGTTTTTTCAAAACTTTCCACCCCTTAGTTTCACTCTTTCCAAAACTACCTAAAACCACTTATCCCTCCTGTCATGGCTGAGCACGGAATGTTCTTTAACCCAAGGAATGCAGGAAAATTAGAGTGAGATTTGGGGTTTAGTGTGGATTTAGCACTAGCTAGCTGTGCAATCTTGGAGGAGTTACTCCACCTCTCTGAACTTGTCTTCTTCCCTGTGAAGTGGGTTGCTGTGCTTCGTTGTTTGAAACAATGGAGGGAAAGGCACTGAGCAGTGTCTGACACAAGAGAAGTGCTCAGAAGGTGATTGTTCTCAGTATTATTAAGATCAAGTCTCGGGCTCATGCCTGTAATCCTAGCATTTGGGGAGGCTGAGGTGGGTAGATCACTTGAGGTCTGGAGTTCAAGACCAGCTGGCCAATGTGGTGAAACTTGGTCTCTACTAAAAATACAGAAATTAGCTGGGTGTGGTGGTGTGTGCCTGTAATCTAAGCTTCTCAGGAGGCTAAGGCAGGAGGATCAGTTGAATTCGGGAGGTGGAGCTTGCAGTGAGCCAAGATTGAGCCACTGGACTCCAGCCTGGGAGACAGAGCAAAACTCTGCCAAAAAGGAAGGAAGGAAGTAAGGAAAGAAAGAGAGAGAAAGGGAGGGAGAGAGAGAGAGAGAGAGAGAGAGAGAGAGAAGAGAGAGAGAAAGAAAGAAAAGGAAGGAAGGAAAGGAGGGAGGGAAGGAGGAGAGGGAAAGAAAGGAAGGAAGGAAAAAGGAAAAGTATTTCAAGAAGGAGGTAAGTACTGAGAGATTAAGGTTCATTCAAAAATAAATATTAGGCCGGGCGCGGTGGCTCAAGCCTGTAATCCCAGCACTTTGGGAGGCCGAGGCGGGTGGATCACGAGGTCAAGAGATCGAGACCATCCTGGTCAACATAGTGAAACCCCGTCTCTACTAAAAATACAAAAAATTAGCTGGGCATGGTGGCACGTGCCTGTAATCCCAGCTACTCAGGAGGCCGAGACAGGAGAATTGCCTGAGCCCAGGAGGCGGAGGTTGTGGTGAGCCGAGATCGCGCCATTGCACTCCAGCCTGGGTAACAAGAGCGAAACTCCGTCTCAAAAAAAAAAAATAAAATAAATGAATAAATAAATAAATAAATATTTATTGTGCACTGTCCTAGAGGTAAGATGAAGAGAAATGTGATTGAATTTGGTAATGTGGATATCTTTGGTGATCTTGATGAGCAACAGGGCAGGAAACTATGGCCATTGACGACTCGTTATGCTCACAGATCCCAAGAGAAGGGGACACAGCTCACTGGTGGAGGGGCTGAAGGGAGAGGAAGAGCCCCAGGAAGTACCAGGATCGGTCAGGAGGTAAAGAGAACAGGGAAAGGGCAGGAAAGAGCATTTATTGTAGTTTCTGCAGGAAGGAATGGGAGAGGCGGTAAGCAGATTTAGGACTGTCTTAATTTGAATAATTTCAGAGACCTTTGGGCCATAGGAGTTGTCTCTAGTTGTCTGGTCCCTGGTCCCATGGGGTGATTTAAAGCAGTGAGTAGTGACCCTGAGTGCAAAAGCCCCATAAAGGAGGACAAGGTTTGGGGGTATGTGCTCTGGATTGGTTGATTTGCAGTCAGAAAGACACATTCATGAATAAGTCATTTTTGATCTCTAGTAATTATTGAGCCCCGGAAGGGGCAGTCCCTCCATGATCAGTAAGGCCCCAAGATGTAAAAGCACCAAATACAGAAACAAGAAAGCACGGTGATTACACTTGTGAATAGATTCCAACCCAAACTCCTTGTTTTCCTGCCCAAGTCTTTGTCAAGACAACTCCAGAAGCTACCTGGGGTCACCATCTTTAATCCTTTGAAGACACCCATACTAGGGTTTAGATAAGGTCTCATGAAGAAGGCATAGGATAAAAGCAACTAGTTCAGAAAAAAAAAAAAGAACGGTAAATAAATGAAGAGATAATAACTTCCCTTTTCATCAAACAATTGCAAAAGTGAACAACAATGAGATGTTTTCTACTTATCCTTTTGGCAAAGATGAAAGCAAGTTACCAATGCTCAGAACTGGTGAGTGCTGTTGGTGGGATTGTAAATCAATTTTTAATCATCTCTCTGGGGTGCTGTTTGGGAAGAGGTGTCAATATCACTACAGCGGTGCTACCTCTTTGACCCAGAAATTCCACTCCTCGGACATAATTGTGAGGAGATAATTGCACCAGTGTCAATGGTTGCCCTACCACTGAGTGGAACAGAATGAGGAAATGTCCTGAAAAGATCAACACAGTGGCCATGGTGATATTGCCTGCTCAGCCCAAGTTCACACATATTTTATTTTTCTCAACATGATGACAGTACTCTTACACTGATTTTTGAAATGCCATGTACGTAGAACCGGGTCTGAAGACGTGGTTTGCACTCAGGCTCTGTCATTTTCTACCTCAGTGATTGCACAACAGCAATGCAGAATTTCCATGAATATAATCATTACTATGTGCCTTTACTTGCATCATCTCCTTTGGCTACTATTACTACTGTGAGAGATGGGTATTCTCATGTTGTAGAGAATGAAGTTGACCTCGACCTCAGGAAGGTTAAGAAATGAGCCCACTGGCATGCAATAAATGGCCGATGTGGGAGTTGGACTGACTCCAAAGTCAGTCTATTTAATTGCAAAGTTATTTCACCTCCAAAGGGACCTCCCAGTCATCAGGCCTATGATTCCTTGTTTCACAGAGGGGGCCAGGTCCAACGATGTCAAACTGTCTTCTAATTCTGATTCTCAGCCATTCTCAGCTCCTCTTGCTTGGGTCTGGATTCTAAGGCTGATCTCATGAGAATGGGTGTTTCAGAAGGGTGCCCTCTCCAAGACAGGTGCACCTCCCAGCAGGGGCAGTGAACATCCCTTTGGTCCTTATGTAGCCTGGCTTCAGATACTGGCTTCCGCCTGGATGCTTGGGCCCACCCTGCCCTTGTCAGTTACCAAGAAGAAGCCCAGCACCTTGGCACGGCTTTCCCAGTTAATTTCTAACTAAGGAATCTCTTGCTGTGAGAAGGTGAGAAACAGTGACCTTGTATTTCCCTGCACAGGTGTGAGCCCCCGTGTCAATCATTTGGGGTCTCTAGCTATTAGGAGAAAGAACAACAACAACCTCACAGCTTGGAAAAGGCAAACATTGTGCCAGAAGGAAAAAATATTCCACCCCCAAGAAAACAATATCAAAAAACAGAACTAGAGAATAATTGGAGGAGAGACTGCCAGCCTGGGACAAATGTATATATATATAAGTATGAGGAACACATTTGTGACCAGACTAACTACCTTTCTGGCTTCAGGTAAGGCTATCTGTAGATGTCTTCTCCTAGCCCAGCTTCTCTCCATTCTATTTGAAGGAGGTGAGAGAGAAAATTAAGACCTCAAACCTGAGGTCAGACCTGGATTTGAGTCATTATTCTGCTGATGATTGTCTTCATGATCTTGGGTAATTTAGTTTTCCTCTCTTTGATCCTCTCCATCCTAGTAACAACGACTACTATTTTTTGACTTATTCCATGAATACTAGTTATGCACCTATTACATGCCAGGTACCAGGGATACAACAATGAACAAGAACATTTGCTATGTACTGGGCCTTTCTAGACATCTGTCATCTACCTAATCCCAGGACAATATGCAGCATTTTATGTCGCAACTCATTAGTGGCTCATAAAATTGTTCCATTTGTGGATTATATCCTCAGACTTCTTTTAATTAAGTATAATAGAATATGTCAGTAAGCAATGCACATTTGAGGGAAGTAGCCTTTTTGTCTCTCTGTTTTCTCACTTGCAAACTAGGATAATAGTACTTATCTTGTAGGGTTGTGGTAAGAATTAAATGATTTAATATAGTAAGAATATCAATTGTCTTACAAAACTTTTATGTGTGACGTGTGTGTGTGTGTGTATGTGTGTGTGTGTGCACGCAAATTCTTGCAGAAGCATCTGTACTAGATCAAGATATAAAACATCTTTCTTTTCTTTCTTTCTTTTTTTTGAGACTGAGTTTCACTTTTGTCGCCCAGGTTGGTGTGCAATGGTGTGATCTCGGCTCACTGCCTCTCCTGGGTTCAAGCGATTCTCTTGCCTCAACCTCCTGAGTAGCTGGGATTGCAGGCATGTGCCGCCATGCCCAGCTAATTTTGTATTTTTAGTAGAGATGGGGTTTCTCCATGTTGGTCAGGCTGGTCTCAAACTCCCAACCTCAGGTGATCCAATACCTCAGACTCCAAAAGTGCTCAGATTACAGCATGAGTCACCACATCCGGCAACATAAAATATTTTTCTTATAGTACATCATGATCACAAAGATCTGGAAAATATTGCTCTAGGACCTAGGGTCTTTGAGCACATGGATGTCTTTGAACTGAGCCTAGCCCATCATAGATACTCAGTTTGTGAAAGCAACAATCTCCATTTCACAGGCAAAAACAGAGACTTGGGGAACTGAAATATCTTGCCCAACATCACAGTGTTATTGATCAGTAAAGCAGGGATTTGAATCCCAGTTGCAGGCTGTAGCTTCTACATACTTAGCCAACATGCCACCTTATTTTGCTGCTATAAACACTGGGTAATACTGGCATCCACCTTGGACTATTTTACCAATTGAAAGAAATAATAAGCGATCCCACAGAAACATTAAAATACATTGTAAAGATTAATTACCTCTTGAGTTTTGTGTCTCAAGTCACTTCTTTACAATACGCGAGCTGCACAGACTTTGTTGTGTTCATTGTTCTCTATGGTGGCTGGCTCCCTGTTTGGCACAAACTCATTAGGTGTTTGTTGAATGGGTAAGTGGATGTGGGCAAATTGAAAGTTTCCAGGCAGAGGATCAGTTAAAATCCAAAGCTGCCTTCAGTAAAGTGGTGAGTCCAGAACACTATTCTATCTTGCTATTTCCTGCTCCAAATGACTCAGTTCTTTAAAATGTGCACTGTGCTGAGACTTGGGGAGCCAAGACTGGGATGTTGGTGAAGTAAGGAGGGTGAGTACAAAGGGGAAAGTCCCAGCAAAACAAGGGCTGCAGTGTCGTACAATTTTTAGTCCATATAAGTGACACCTCCTGGAGTTGTATAACCTACAATCAAAGCACTCCTCCCAACTGTGGGGAGGAGAGTTAGATCACGCATTTGTCCCATCCGTCTCCGTTCACAGGACAGCAGACATCAGAGACAGAGAGGAAAACTCAGGGGGCCAACCTGACTTGTCTTTGGGCAGGTGTTCTCTAGACCAGAAGTAGCTGTGAAGAGCAAAGGCATGGGGCAGCCATCTCTGACTTGGATGCTGATGGTGGTAGTGGCCTCTTGGTTCATCACAGCTGCAGCCACTGACACCTCGGAAACAAGTAAGTGAGAAGTGTGTGTGTGTCGTATGTGTGTGCATGCACGAGTAGTGTAGCACTTCTTAGAGGCAATGTCAAATTTCCTATTGCATTTGGAATTTGCATTGTCTTTATTCTAAGTCCATTTCTTAGACTTCAATATGCACAGGACTCACTTGGAAATTTTGCTAAAATGCAGATTCTGGTTCAGCAGATCTTCAGTTGGACCTAAGATGTTGATTTTTTTTTTTTTCTCATTGCCCAGGCTGGAGTGCAGCAGTGCAATCTCAGCTCACTGCAGCTGCAGCCTCCTGGGTTCAAGTGATTCTCCTGTCTCAGCCTCCTGAGTAGCTAGGACTACAGGCACATGCCCCTATGCCCAGCTAATTTTTTGTATTTTTTTTTTTCTCTGAAACAGCTTTTTATTAAACGGCAAAGCAGAACTGCAACACAATTTAAATGTCTGTAAATTAGGTCACAAAAGGGATGCAAAATGTTTGCAGTTTGACTATTATATATTCATACAGCTAAAGTCATTCATCAGCTTTTACACCAATACATAAGATTATTCCATGATTAAAAGTAACCCAAATCTAATAACCATAAGCTATATTAGTGGATCTCTTTTCCTATTTTAAGATTTTAGCATTACTTCCAATATTGATTTCCTTACCAAATGGAACCTACACCAAATTTTGAAAAATTGTTAAAGGATGACTAAAACTCTTCAAGTGGCAGAGTTTACAGAAAATTCTAGAACAAGTGAGATAAAATACTGAGCAAGATAATAAGAATACCTGTAAAACTCTCCCATTTTATTCACTATTCTAATACCAATACACTGTTAAGGAATTTTGCAAAAGTTGATCTGCTGGGTACGAATAAACAGAAACCAAACTGTAACTGTTCTCATCCAGATGTGGCTTACATAAGGGTAGTCAAACTTAATCTACTTTCATATATACTTCCCAAAAGATCTAGTCTGTGCCAGAGAAAACACAAATCTGGAGTGAAAATATTTGGAGTTGGTTACTACTGTTTACCAACTACTTCTCCACCCTATTTCTATTTTTCCTCTAAATTTTCTATTTTAAACACACACATAACCAGAAATCATATATTTTCAGATAATATAAAATGAGTTACTTTGTGCAAAAAGAAGTTATTAACAATAAATACTCCCAAGTTAATTTTGTTTCAAAGAAAAACCTTCATTTTTAGTCTCCATCTATTTCCAATTTATTAAAGAGAAACCAGCATTCCTATCTTAATACTAAATATCACAAATGACAAGCCCTAGCTGTGACAGGATCTTATTTTGGTTAAGGTCAACAATTAAAATACAGATTACTCTCAGAGATGATTAACTATTAAAATTACTTTTACAAATGTGAAACCAGTTTTTTTCCTTAAGGAAAGGGAAATAGGAAGGAAGAGGCAAATGGAGAAGAGGCACAAGATGGTGGACAGGGTACATAAAGCTGTGCATTCAGTACATGATTTTGGTCACTTTTTCACAACATGGTGGTTATTTTCTTGTATATCTTACTAATCCTATAATAAAAGACAGTGCTAAACCTACAAATTAGATAAAACATTCATCTTTAAGTTTCATAAATATATGCAATTCTAATTATAAAGTCTCTACAATACATTTGCACGTTTTCATAGACTAACAATACACAAACTTATGGAAGTCTCCTGTTATTGTGTTACTTTTGTCTACATCTGACATTATCTTCATAAATATTCAATGAAGCCACAAACAAAGGTACTGTAACTTTTGGAATCTATCCAAGTTTTAAAGAAAAAATAATCAGCAGCAATTCCATAAAACAGAAGGGTGTCAATCCCTTACTTTCTTTTGCTTTTTGTGTCAGTTGTTTGAAAAACACTAGAAGCTGACATGAGGTTTTCTATATATTGTCCAAGAACTTGGTTTTCTGATTTTAGCTTCAGATTTTCTTCCTTAACTGCATCTACTCTTGCAGACAGATCTTCAAGTGTGTGTTGGAGTTCCAACACTTGATTAATAAGTCTTGTTTTTTCCTCCAGTTCCACCTGATTTTCAGCATCAACTGCATCCATGTCAGCATTCATCATCTTGGGTAACAAACTTTTGGGCCTTGGATACAAAATCCTTGCTGAATGGTCTTCCGCTGGAGGCGCGGGGAGAGACAGGGATGGACAATTTTTTGTATTTTTAGTAGAGACAGAGTTTCACCGTGTTGACTGGGATGGTCTTGATCTCCCACCTTGGCCTCCCAAAGTGCTGGGATTGCAGGCATGAGCCACTGTGCCCGGCCAATGCTGAATTTTAACAAGCTTCCAGGTGATGCTAGTGGTGGGGTCCTTGAAGCACACATTGAAAAGCAAGGGTCTAGAACATCTCTAAGACCTGCAGGCCCTTTTACTGGAAGGTCAGAAACATACTCTATTACATACGGTGTCCTAGTTAAAAGCAAATATTTTGTGGTCCTGCCATCTGCGTTTGTACCCTGGTTCTACTTCTTACCAAAGGAGTAAGGGGCTTAATCCCTCTGAACCTCAGTTTTCTCATGTTTAAAACAAAGATAAATCAAAAACTGACCTCACGAGGCCATTGGGAAGTACTCAACAAGATAGTGAATGAAAAGTGCACATCCTATTGCCTGGCATATAGTGACCGCTTAATAAACAACAGCTTATTTTTTTTTAATGATTATTTTTATTATGGAGGAACAAAGTACAACTGCCCTGTTGGAGGACTACTGAGAGAGGAGGCAACACTGAGCTGGGTCCTGAGGAAGCTTTCACCAGGCAGGGAAGCAGATCTGGCAGAAAGCAAAAAATGTGCAAAGGCAGAGAGGGCAACAGGTTCACTGTAAATTCTACCAAAGTACAGGAATTCTGTGCATTACTTTTCTGAATGTGGATATTTTAAAAGAAGACAGCTTGAAAGCAATGCTTAACACAGAAAAATTAATGGTGGAGTTGGGCATGATGGCACGTGCCTGTAGTCCCAGCTTTTTCAGAAGCTGTGGCAGGGTGGTTGGTGGTGGGGAGTGGAGGCTTGAGCCAGGAGTTGGAGGCTGCAATGAGCTATTGCAGCCTGGGCGACAGAACTAGACTGCCTCTCTAAAAAAATAATAAAGTTAAAAATTAAAATGAAATAAAAAGAATGAATGGTGGAAGCCTGACATCATCAGGGGAGTTTTGTTTCTTTCCTTCTTAACTTGTTTTGGAGGGAGTCCTAGAGAATAAATCTTAAATATAATGTGAGTTCCCTGGAGAATGAGGGAAGGATTTCTGGGTGGCCATGGGCCCAGCTGCCCACACTCTGAGGCTGGGCTCTTCTGTCCACAGGATGGTGCTCCGAATGTCACAGCAATGCCACCTGCTTGGAGGATGGGGCTGTCACGACGTGCACCTGCCAGGAGGGCTTCACTGGGGATGGCCTGACCTGTGTGGACCTGGATGAGTGCGCCATTCCGGGGGCTCACAACTGCTCGACCAACAGCAGCTGCGTAAATACGCCAGGCTCCTTCTCCTGCGTCTGCCCCGAAGGCTTCCGCCTGACGCCCAGGCTGGGCTGCACAGACGTGGATGAGTGCACGGAACCTGGGCTTAGCCACTGCCACGCCCTGGCCACGTGTGTCAATGGGATGGGCAACTACTCCTGCGTGTGCCCTGCGGGCTACTGGGGGGATGGGTGGCACTGTGAGTGTTCCCCAGGCTCCTGCGGGCCAGGGCTGGACTGCGTGCCCGAGGGCGACACGCTCGTGTGCGCGGATCCGTGTCAGGCGCACCGCATCCTGGACGAGTACTGGCGTAGCACCGAGTATGGGGTGGGCTACGCCTGCGACACGGACCTGCGCGGCTGGTACCGCTTCGTGGGCCAGGGCGGCGTGCGCCTGGCTGAGACCTGCGTGCCCGTCCTGCGCTGCAGCACGGCCGCCCCCATGTGGCTCAATGGCACGCATCCCTCCAGCGACGAAGGCATCGTGAGCCGCACGGCCTGCGCTCACTGGAGCGACCATTGCTGCCTGTGGGATGCATCAGTCCAGGTGAAGGCCTGCGCCGGCGGCTACTACGTCTACAACCTGACAGCGCCCCCCGAGTGTCACCTGGCGTACTGCACAGGTCAGCCTGGCGTTTCCCCGCAGCCATCACCCCAGGCCTGGAGAGGCACTACAGGGGACTGGGGCGCCTCCTTGTTGATTGTCTGTCTGTCCCTGTGACCCTGCAGACCCCAGCTCCGTGGAGGGAACGTGTGAGGAGTGCGGTATAGATGAGGACTGCAAATCGGATAACGGCAGGTGGCACTGCCAGTGCAAACAGGACTTCAACATCACTGGTGAGGACGGGGGGCGGGGAGGAAGCGGGTTGTTGAGAAACCTGACATTGACTGGGGGAGGGACACATTCCTCCCCTGTGAGATTGGGGTCATCTGGGTATGACACAGAAAATACATATTCAACCTGAGTGAAAATAGAAGATCCGCTAATACACATTAAAGCTGGCAAGAGGCTCTCTGAGCCTCTCCGAGTCTCTCTTTAGTTGACTTCAAATCTGGGGACCTCCTCGCTCCCAACCTTCTTTCTGAGGCCCCACACCTTAGTGGGCACACACGTTGCTGCTATCTGGGAGCCAAAGACCATCTGAGTCCTATTCCTGCAGCACCAGAACACAGGCCTGGTGACCAGTCCACCTATCAGCTCAGACCTGGTGACCAGTCCACCAATGAGCTCAGGCCTGGTGACCAATCCACCAATGAGCTCAGGCCTGGTGACCAGTCCACCTAACAGCTCAGACCTGGTGACCAGTCCACCTAACAGCTCAGGCCCGGTGACCAGTCCCCCTATCAGTTCAGACCTGGTGACCAGTCCACCAATCAGCTCAGGACTCTGGGCCAGGCACAAGCCTCAGATTTCTCATACCTACAATTATTAAAGATGAAAATTGTATTTCCAGACTTCAGTCACGATTTTAGTCACATCCAGGTGCCAACTTGACAATTGGAACCCTGGTTCACTTGCTTTATCCAAGTGTTGCCTGTGCCGTGACTTTTATTATTAACTTGTTTTTCTTCTAATGGACTGAATCTCTTATGTAAATGTGGAGTGTTGATGGTCACGGCTTCATCTGTCTGTGGCAAGTTACGCTTACCTTAGACAGAAAGTTAACTATAAAAATAAAGTGAAAAGAAAAGGTACTAAATTCCAGCAGTTGTGTAATACTTCAATAAAACAAAATTTTAAAAATAAATACTGAAAATTTTAAAAAATGCTTCATTTTTAAAAAAATTAAAAATGAATTCTACCTGGATGTTGTTTCCTTCTCCAAACTCTGAGCCTGAGGCCTGCTCTCTGTTTGAGAGGGAGGTTAGTGGGCTGGATGCTGTGGCTCATGCCTGTAATCCCAGCACTTTGGGAGGCCAAGGTGGGCAGATCACCTGAGATCAAGAGTTGGTCACCCTGACTGACCAACATGGCAAAACCCTGTCTCTAGTAAAAATACAAAAACTAGCCAGGCCTGGTGGCAAGCATCTGTAATTCCAGCAATTCCAGAGGGTGAAGCAGGGGAATCACTTGAATCCAGGAGGCAGAGGTTGCAGTGAGCCAATATCGCACCACTGCATTCTGGCCTGGACGACAAGAGCAAAACTCTGTCTCAAAAAAAATTTAAAAAAAAAAAAAAAAGAAAGAAAGAGAGGAAAGTTAGTGAGTATGAGTATACGGCATTAAAGACATTAGTGGCAAGCTGAAACTGTCTCCTTGATGTAAAAAGGGTAGAAAGCAATTGCAGTTTGTTTGTTTGCCTTCTTTTCTTTCTTTCTTTCTTTTTCTTTTTTCTTGACGAAGTCTCCCTCTGTCACCCAGACTGGAGTGCAATGTGCAATCTCAGCTCACTGCAACCTCTGCCTCCTGGATTCAAGCGATTCTCCTGCCTCAGCCCCTCACGTAGCTGGGATTACAGGTGCCTGCCACTGGGCCTGGCTAATATTTATTTATTTGTTTTGTATTTTTAGTAGAAACAGTGTTTCACCATGTTGGCCAGGCTGGTCTCGAACTCCTGACCTCAAGTGATCCGCCTGCCTCAGTCTCCCAAAGTGCTGGGATTACAGGCATGAGTCACAGTGCCCACGATCCCCTTTTTAAACTAGTATTCACTGTTATTTAATGCTGAGACGTCAACCTCCCCTGAAAATCCTCCTGCATTTGGTATACAACCCACGCTTAGGGGAACAGAGGACTGAATGGTTGGCCAATGGATGTATACATTGATATCAGGGGTCCAATTTTGAGTCCTCATCACATTGGGAGGGGAGAGATCAGCTTGAGGCTATGCTGAGCACCTCCAGGTGGTGGTTAACGCAGCCAGCTGGACCTGGCTTGGGGGGACGTGCTGGGCCCCGAAGCTACAGACACAGGCCCTCAATCCTGCCCAACCTGACTGTTTCAGATATCTCCCTCCTGGAGCACAGGCTGGAATGTGGGGCCAATGACATGAAGGTGTCCCTGGGCAAGTGCCAGCTGAAGAGTCTGGGCTTCGAGGAGGTCTTCATGTACCTGAGTGACAGCCGGTGCTCAGGCTTCAGTGACAGAGACAACCGGGACTGGATGTCCGTAGTGACCCCAGCCCGGGATGGCCCTTGTGGGACAGTGTTGACGGTACGTCTTGGCCAGTGGGGCACAGAACCAGAGCACTGCCTGGTTCAAGCTTCTGCTCTATCACTTCCTAGTTACAGGAGGTTCGGGGTTGTTTAACCTGGCTGTGCCTCAGTTTCATCCACTGTAAAGTGGAGAAATAATAGCGCCTACTCCGTAGGCATGTTGAGAGGATTGAATGAGTTAATGTGTTGAAGTGACTAGGACTGCACACAGTAGGTGACAAGTGCTCAATAAATGTCAGCTTCAAATAAACTTCAAATAAAGAGAGCAATCCATGGTGATAGTTCTCCATTTTACAGATAGGAAAAGTAGGGCTGACAGTAGTGATTGTCACAGCCAGTAGGCATCAGCATTTAGTTCAGAAACTGGTCCATTCATCTCCAGTGGTCCTGGAAGGCAAGGTCTGTTTCCTTAATGTACACAGAACCAGGACCTCACTGACAGAGGGCTCCTCAAATGAAACTCAGAGGTAAATGTTTGAGCATTATCTCTCCCACCTCTCTGATTACTGGAGAAAGAAATAAAGAAAAAGAAAGAAGAAAAGAGAAAGAAAGAAAGAAACAAAGAAACAAAGAAACAAAGAAACAAAGAAAGAAAAAGAAAGAAAGAAAAAGAGAAAGAAAGAAGGAAGGAAGGAAAGAAAGAGAGAGAAAAGATTTAATGTTGGCTGGGCGTGGTGGCTCATGTCTGTAATCCCAGGACTTAGGGAGACTGAGGCAGGCGGAAAAGAGGTCAGAAGTTTGAGACCAGCCTGGCCAACACAGAGAAACACCATCTCTACTAAAAATAGAAAAATTAGCTGGGTATGGTGGTGGGCACTTTTAATCACAGATACTCAGGAGGCTGAGACAGGAGAATCACTTGAATCCAGAAAGCAGAGGTTGTGGTGTGCCTAGATTGTGCCACTGCACTCCAGCCTGAGTGACAGAGTAAGGCTCTGTCTCAAAACAAACAAAAAGGAAATAATGTCATTTTCCAAGGATAGCATTTAAAGTTTTATTAATGATGACTTAGCATATGGTTTTTAGTTTTCAAGAGAGGAAGCACAGGGTGCTAGAAAGAGCCTAGACTTGTGAGATCTCACAAACTGTGGGCAATCCCTCAGTGACTCTGCCACTTTGAACCTCTGTCTTTTCATCCAGGAAGCAGAGATATGGCAGAGCCACCTCTTAGTGTCACTGAAGGGACTAATGCAATAAAGCAGGTATTCATCTCAGGGTCTAGCACATGACATGTGCGCATGAATGGTCATTGCTGTTGTAACTTTTTTTTTAGGAAGAAAAGATGATTAATTGGCTCATAGTTCAGATTTTTATTGTTGTGGGTTTTTTGTTTTTTTTTTTTTCCCTATGGAATCTCCCTCTGTCGCCCAGGCTGTAGTGCAGTGGTACAATCTCAGCTCACTGCGACCTCTGCCTCCTGGGTTCAAGTGGTTCTCCTGTCTCAGCCTCCTGAGTAGATGGGACTACAGGCACCCACCACCACACCCAGCTACTTTTCTTATTTTTAGCAGAGATGAGGTTTCACCACATTGACCAGGCTGGTCTCTAACTCCTGACCTCATGTAATCCACCCATCTGAGCCTCCCAAAGTGCTGGGATTACAGGCGTGAGCCACTGCACCCAGCCACAGGCAGCTCTTTATCAAGGAGACTAGGAGAGCAGCTCACAAGTAGCCAGAGACCAGCAGATTTGGCTTTGAAGTCCTACTCAGATTTTCATGCCCTTTCTCTCACTCCCACCTCCCATTCCCTGCAACACAGAGGAATGAAACCCATGCCACTTACAGCAACACCCTCTACCTGGCAGATGAGATCATCATCCGTGACCGCAATATCAAAATCAACTTTGCATGCTCCTACCCCCTGGACATGAAAGTCAGCCTGAAGAACTCCCTGCAGCCAATGGTCAGGTGCGGCTAGAGAGAGTTTCTGGGACCCCTAGACAATTCTACCCCCAAACCCCTTAAGTATGAGCTTCCCTGTCAACTGCCACCTACAGAGAGCTGGGAGTGAGGTCTGGGAATAGGGTTGGACAGTGGAAAAGCCAGGAATCCTGGAGCCCAGGTTCAAACCTAGACTCTCATAAATGATGGTTACACCCTGGGCAGTGGGGGACAGAGTAAGAACACTGCCTGGTTTAAGCCCTAGCTCTGTCACTAACTAATTATATGAGCTTCAGTGAGTTATTGAGCCTGGCTGTGGGAAGCTGATAGCCCCTCTCTGGGTGTCAATATTTTCATCTGCAAAATGGGTTTAGCCATACTTGTGCTGCCTTTCTTAGAGTACAACAGTGCTCTAAGAATCAAATGATGTGGGAGTTTCACTTGAGCCCAGGAATTTGAGGCTGCATTGAGCTATGATTGTGATGTGAGTCAGATTCAACCCTCAAACTGATGCAGATGATTCAGATGTGAATCAAATATTAGAGTCTCCACTTTTCAAAGGGGCAGGGTGGTTGTGCCAGAGAGCAGGAAGGGTCTCAATCCAGACTGCTATGGGACTCTGGGCAAATCGTATTTCACATTTGGAAGGACCTCAGCTTCCTTCCTTCTCTGTAAGTGAAAGGAATTTGATTAAAGAAGGTTTTACAAATTATGGTCTTTGCAAGTGTCTTGGTGGGGGCCAAAGGAGGTGCCCTGGAGGAGTGCCTGTACGGGGTAAACCATTCATACTGGGTGCCACATAACGTTTTATTGTTTTTTTTTAAAAATGAACCTGTCCCTAAATAAAATTGAAAATCTTCAAATAGGATGAATCACAGGCCAATGATGGAAAAAATAATCGTAATATGAGCTAAGATTTATTTATTTATGTATTTATTTATTTATTTACTTATGACAGAGTCCTGCTCTGTTGCCTAGGCTGGAGTGCAATGATGCAATCTTGGCTCACTGCAACCTCTGCCTCCTGGGTTCAAACAATTATCCTGTCTCAGCCTCCCAAGTAGCTGGGATTACAGGCACTCACCACCAAATCTGGTTAATTTTTGTATTTTTAGTAGAGACGGGGTTTCACCATGTTGGCCAGGCTGGTCTCAAACTCCTGACTTCAGGTGATCCACCCATCTTGACCTCCCAAAGTGCTGGAATTACAGGCTTGAGCCACTGCACCCACCCAATAACTGAGATTTATTGAGAGCTTACTGTATCTCAGGCATTGTGTCCAGTGTTCTGCCTGGAACATCTTATCAAACTCTTATAGCAGCCCTAGGAGATAAAGGTATTATTATTCTTATTCCCATTATACTGATGTGGGCATTGAGGCTCAGAGAAGTTTGAGTGATTTATCCAAAGCTGCAAAGTCCAACAAGTGATAGAGCTGGGATTCAGACATCAGGTCCAGAGCCTCCACTTGACCTTAGAAGCTTGGTTGAGGTTCCCTTTGAAGCTTGCCCATGGTTTTGTACTCTCTTGCCCAGCCAGACTCAGGGAAGGATGCTGGGTGCTGATGACAGTGTACAGCTGACTTGGAGGAAGAAGGGCGCTCATTGCAGGCTGTTGGCTGGAGACTCACCTAGCCAAGCAGTGTCCTGGGGCACTGTGGCCCTTCCTCAGCCTGGTAGGCTCTGGGGAGCAACAAGTGTGCTCACATCTCTATGTTTTTTGGTTTTGTTTTGTTTTGTTAAGAACCCAGGCTTCACTCTATCACCCAGGCTGGAGTGCAGTGACACAATCATAGCTCAGTGCAGCCTCGAATTCCTGGGCTTAAGCAATCCTCCCACCTGTCTCCCAAGTAGCTAGGACTACAGACACATGCCGCAAACCTGGGATATTTTTAAAAATACTTTTGTAGAGATTGAGTCTTGTTATGTGGACCAGTCTAGTCTCAAACCTCTGACCTCAAGTGATCCTCCTGCCTTGGCCTCCTAAAGTATTGGGATTATAGGCATGAGCCACAGCACCTGATCCCTTGAGTCTCTGTCTTGAGTTAGAGATCTCAACCCAGTTTTCACTGATGACTCAGTTTTCATCTATAAAATGGACTTCCACATTTCGGAGTATTTCTCATGTGCCTTATTTCATGAGGCATCAGCCTTACAAAGTCCTTTGTGGGATCATCCAGTGAAGTTCACATCAGTGTGTCTGTTTTCAGTGTGGTTAAAAATAACTCATTTATAAAGCTCAATCTTCTGATGTAGATGTTAGTACATCATGATGGAGAACAGGTCTCAAGCTGTAGGACTCATAATAGCCCAATCCCTTTTAACCTGTTCTAGATTGAGACTAAAGAAGGAGTCCAGGTGTTTCAGTAATTTGTTGTTTCTTTTCCCCCCATCTTGAAGGCTACAGGAGTAGCAAGTGAGGGACTGGGTATGTTACTTGAGATGTGATTGATCCATGGACCAGCAGCATCAGCAGTATCCAGCAGCTTGTTAGAAATGCAGGCCCTTGAGCCCCACCCCAAACTGACTGAATCAGAGCCTGAATTTTTTCTAGATCCCAAGTTGACCTGTGTGTACTCATTGCAGTTTGCAAAGCAACAGTTAGTGGGTTCCAGTCTTATTGCTGGATAAAAATGCAAATAACTGCAAGGTACTGCCCAGAAATGCAAACCAGAAAAAGTAGCCCATCAGCAAGTGTTCTCAGCCTGATCCTCTCACCAACTCTTCTTCCCCTGCAGTGCCCTGAACATCAGAGTGGGCGGGACAGGCATGTTCACTGTGCGGATGGCCCTCTTCCAGAACCCTTCCTACATGCAGCCCTACCAAGGCTCCTCCGTGACGCTGTCCACTGAGGATTTTCTCTATGTGGGCACCATGTTGGATGGGGGAGACCTGTCCCGATTTGCACTGCTCATGACCAACTGCTATGCCACACCCAGTGGCAATGCCACGGACCCCCTGAAGTATTTCATCATCCAGGACAGGTAAGGCAAAGCTTCCTACATGGGAGCCCATGGGGGGAATTCAGGGGGTTCTGTGGACTTGGATGGAGAAAAATTGCATCTTTTTTTTTTTTTTTTTTTTAAACAGAGTCTTGCTCTGTCACTCAGACTGGAGTGCAATGGAGTGATCTCAGTTCACTGCAACCTCCACCTCCTGGGTTCAAGCAATTCTTCTGCCTCAGCCTCCTAAGTAGCTGGGATTACAGGCATGCACCTGCATGCCTGGATAATTTTTATATTTTTAGTAGGGACAGGTTTTCACCACATTGGCCAGGCTGGTCTTAAACTCCTGACCTTGTGATCCACCTGCCTCAGTCTCCCAAAGTGCTGAGATTACAGACATGAACTACCATGACCAGCCAGAAAATTACATTTTTATATTCATTACCCTTTAGCTGAAACTTAGCATTCCCATCCACTATAAATACAGGCAAAAAACTACAGAAATATTGGCAGGTCCTGTGAAGCCATTTATGGTCATCAATACTTTTTAGGCACTATAGCATTAGAATTTTCACTAGCCCTTATTATTCGATGCATTATCAAATATATATGTATTTGCAAATATATATGTATGATATATATACATAATGATACGCATTTTATATTTCAAATGTCTTATTTTTTTGCCTGTTTGATTTGGTTTGGCTTTTTTGAAATAGGGTCTCACTCTGTCACTCAGGCTGGAATGCGGTCACTTGATCATAGCTCACACCACCATACCCAGCTAGCAAATGTTTTTCGTATTTTGAGAATGGCACTTCAATTTCATTGGTTTCCTTTATAATCTTTTAAATATTTTTCTTTTGTGCATTTAAAAATACTATTTTTGAAGGGGGATGTACAAGCTTCAGCAGGGAGCTGAGTAGGATTTGCAATTCAGAAAATGGTAAGAAACCTGATGGAAAGGCATGCCCAAGGCAGCAGACAGCCCAGTACCTGGGGGAGGAGTAAGGTATGGGCATGGTTAGCCAAGGGCCAGTTGAAACTAGGACACAAGTGTGCTACCTTTTACTGAAGAGGCACAAGGTGACTGTGAATTTTACCACGAGAAGGTAGTTCACTTTCTCATTCATAAGTTGAAATGATATTTTGGAAGCTTGCTGTGTGTCAGGCTCTGTGGATTTCACAGTAAATAGAAGGAAGAAAACTCTCTGCCCTCATACAATTTATATTCTAAAGCAGGAGGACCAATAATTAAATGAAAGTGAAATATATAGTATGTTAATGACAAAGAGGTTATAGAAGAAACAAAGCAGGAGAAGAAGAGAGACATTTGCAATTTTATTGCATAGTCAGAGACAGTGGTCTGTTTTCATTAGGTTATCTCAGGGTCTGCCTTGTTACATCAAGGGAATATTTTCAAGTGGGTGCTAATATGACATTCACACCTCTTCGTTATCTGAATCTCCCTTTGCAATAAAAATAAAGCAGAAGTCTGTTTTAGAGGATTTGGCAATTAACAGTGTCTAATTCAAACTTAATACAACCCCTTTGTTGACCTTGTCCTCATTGTATGGTCCTGTTCTATTTATGGCAAGTGATACTTGCTTGCCATCTTGAGGCCATGAACTAAAGATTCTTGTAGAAAATAAATGTATGTCAGTAAAAAATATAAGTAGATTAAAAAAACAGTAAATAATAATACAAATGTTGGGACACAAAAGAAAATGCTCATGAAGGTGGCATCTCAACAAAGAAGAAAAATACTGAAATTTGGAAACTGTTGGCATGACCTTGATTTGAGCATCACAGAGATTTGGGTTCAAATCTTGGCTTTGCCATTTCTTAGTTTTAAGAAACAGGTCAGCTTAGCTCTCTGGGTTTTCCTGTTCTCAGACATAAATGAGGATAAATAATACCTGCTATGCTGGGATTTTAAAATTTGTTTTTCAGGAGTATAAAAGTACAGCAGGGAGGCCAAGGCAGGCATATCACGAGGTCAGGAGTTCAAGACCAGCCTGGCCAAAATGGTGAAACCCCGTCTCTACTAAAAATACAAAAGTTAGCAGAGTGTGGTGGCATGTGCCTGTAATCCCAGCTACTCAGGAGGCTAAGACAAGAGAATTGCTTGAACTGGGAGGCAGAGGTTGCAGTGAGTCAAGATCTCACCACTGCACTCCAGTCTAGGTGACAGAGCAAGACTCCATCTAAAAATAAAATAAAATGAAAGTACGGCAGGCACATTGTGGAAAACTTGGAAAGTTCTTTAAAAGAAGCAGGAAAAAATGTAGGGTATGTCTATACGTTTCCATGTGGGTGGGTGTGGGAGCTGGGGTGAGAACTATCAGTCTAGGAGAGATGTCAGAACCTCACAAGGCATGAAAAGAGGAGACAAGTTGGGGAGACAGTGAAAGTGACTGGAGGGAACACATGGATGTCCAGCTTGGCTTGAGCACATGGAGCCCTCACAGGCCATGCTGTCTGCCTGTCAGGAGTTGGGTCCACTCAACCTCAGGGCTTTTCTCTTGCCAGCTGGAGTCTGCATTTTGGGACCAGATCTGAATTATTGGAGATACAAGGGTGAAAAACATTCCCAGAAGGTTCCTTCTCAGTTTTGCAGTCAGTGTTCAGACTCCTGCCTAAATCAGCTTTGAGCAAATAGTGCAGAATGGCAGATAGGGTGCCCAGTTTGCCTTCCCGGAATGCCCATGGGTATCCCTGACTCGACCCAGCACACATGGGAATCTCTGCATGCTCTGTTTCAGGTTTCTCCTTGTAACTGTGTTTGGGCACAGTTGTGTATATGCACAGACGGGTGCACACACGCCAACTTCATCAGTAGCTGTTGGTACCCAGAGGTTTCCATCGTTATAATTATACCAGGCACATGTAGATAGCACATAGGAGCTAATAATTTTTTAATGTTATTACTGGGAAATCAGGAAGTGCTGACTTTTAGACAGTTTCAGCTCTGCACTGATGACAGTTTCACATAGTAGCTAATAATTTTTTAATTTTATTCCTGGGAAAGCAGGAAGTGCTGACTTTTGGATAGTTCCAGCTCTGCACTGATGACAGTTTCACTTTAGTATCAAATATATAAAGCACCTTTGGCATACTACACACAGTTCAGCAAAAACAAAAAAACAAAAAAACAAAACAAACAAACAAAAAAACCCAAAAAACTAATCCTTACAGCTGTCTTATAACATGGCTGCAATTATTTCCTCAAATGATCTGCCTGCCTTGGCCTCCCAAAGTGCTGTGATTACAGGTGTAAGCCACCACGCCCGGCCGGCTGCAATTGTTTCCTATGTACAGATGAAGAAATTAGGGCACAAAGAGATTAAGTAAGTTGTCCCAAGGTCACACAGCTAAAAGGTGACAGAGCAATATTTGAACCCAGTAAGTCTGGCTCCAGAGTCTTTGTTTAACCAATCACATGAAATGATGTGTAACCCTCCCAGATGCCCACACACTAAAGACTCAACTATCCAAGTGGTGGAGAACGGGGAGTCCTCCCAGGGCCGATTTTCCGTCCAGATGTTCCGGTTTGCTGGAAACTACAACCTAGTCTACCTGCACTGTGAAGTCTATCTCTGTGACACCGTGAATGAAAAGTGCAAGCCTGTGAGTCACCTCCGCTCCCCCAGCTCATCTCTTATAACCAAAGACATTTGGTCACAAAGAAAACAAATCAACATTGCTTCCCTATAGAATGAGCAATAAGATGAGGTGGGCATGGCCAGGCAGGAAACCTAGGCCACCAGGAAATCAGGTGCAATCAGTGAAGTGCGGCAGGCTGGCAAACGCTCTGGCTTATCTGCAAGCTTGTGTTCAAATAACAAGAGCTGACATTTTAAGCACTGTGTCCACTTCACTTGTGTTAACTTTGAATGCTTCACTGCAACTCTATAAGGGAGGTGTTATTAGTTCCCTTTCCTCATGAGGAGGGGAGCTCAGAGAACTTGAATGGCTTGCCTGAGATCATGCATCTATCTAGCAAATGGCAGAGCTGGGACATGCATGTACCCCGGTATACAGATCTCCTAAAAACTTCTGCCTGGGGCAGGAGGAGGCACCTATGAGGTGTGCAGTCCACTCCACATGGCAGAACCACTTGCAGGCTCCCTTATGGATGGTGTTTTTCCATTGCCCTCTCCCTGTAGACCTGCTCTGGGACCAGATTCAGAAGTGGGAGTGTCATAGAGCAATCCCGTGTCCTGAACTTGGGTCCCATCACACGGAAAGGTAAGAGAGCCACTTGCTCCTCAACATTCCTGGCTGGGAATAATCTCTGGAGAGGAAGAGGGATAACAGAGCCTGGCGCCTTGTCACCTTACTGAGCTCTGAAGAACTGGGAGCAAGTGGATGCTCTGGGGCAAGGTGGAAAACAGGCTGCCTTCTTTTTACTGTTCCCGTTCATCAACCCATTCATTGCACAAATATGATTGGTAGATGAATGTGACATAGGACACAAGCATGGCCAGACAGGCATGTGGAAATGTAGATCATCCAGATATGTTTTCACACACGTGAGGTCACATACATACATTTATATTTGTAGTAGATGTGTGCCTACTCTGTGTCTGGGGGTCTTGTGATGAGCAGAAGTAGATGGCCCTATTCACATGGAACTTGTGAATCAGTGAAGAAGGTGCCGTTTGAATAATCCCATGTAGACATGTGGGATCTGGGTGGTGCCAGCTGATGGCACCACCTAAGATCAAGTGCAGGGTCTGCAAACATTGATCTTAGGAGCAGTTTAGGAAGGGTCAGAATCTTGTAGCCTCCAGCTTTATGACTCCTAAACCATAATTTCCAATATTGTAGCTAATTTCTTAGTCCTAAAAAGGGAGTCTAGTCCCCAGGCAAGAAAGAGGTTTGTTTTTGGTAAGGGCTGTTATCATCTTTGTTTTAAACTATAAATTAAATTTCTTCCAAAGTTAGTTCAGCCTACACCCAGGAAGGAACAAGGACAGCTTAAAAGTTAGAACCAAGATGGAGTCAGCTAGGTTAGCTCTCTTTCACTGTCTCAATCATAATTTTGCAAAGGTCATTTTCAAGAGTACAGCTTGGGCAAAGGGCCTATGGTAGGAGGGAGCTCTGCCTGTTTAAAGAACTCAGAGAAGGCCAGGCAGGCTGGAAAGAAGGGGGTGGTGCGGGATGAGCTACAGCAGACTGTGCAGGGTCTTGCAGTTCTTACTAAGGTTTGAGGCCTTTCTCTGGAAAGCAGTGAGAGCCCCTGATGGGTCTGAAGTAGGGGAGTAACATGATCAGATTTGAGTTTTGAAGAGTTCACTCTGCCTGCAAGGAGAAAAGTAGATTGAAGGGATTTCTCCCAGGCTGCTTGCCAATCTCATGCATTCTTTTTTCACTGTTCTTCTGTTTTCCTCCAAAGGTGTCCAGGCCACAGTCTCAAGGGCTGCTTTTAGCAGCTTGGGTAAGTCTTTTTTTTTTTTTTAACCAGGTACAGGAAGTTATTTTTCAGTTCCTCGAAGTGCTGCATGGGGTGGGGGCAGAGACAGAAGACAGTGTAAACACTGGGTTCCACCTCATGGAGCTCAAGGGAAGACCCTTACCCAGATAGGGACTAACTGGAGGTGTGGAAGGGAACAAGGTGAAAGTAGGGGTCCTGGTGAGACAAAGCAGGGGGACCTGAGAACTCAGAGCAAGGTGGGTTTGGAGGGAGCACAGCAGGGTGTGGGAAGGGAGATAGGGGACATTTCCTATTCCAGTGCACTTCATTTTAAATAAACTGGGTACAGGAGCATTATGAAAGGAGTACCAAAGGACAGAACAGGTCGTCTCTGCAGCGGGACCTGTCCCAGAACTCTCCTAGGGGACTTCTGTTAACTTTTAATGCTTCACAGCAACTCTATACGGGAGGTGTTACTAGTTCCATTTTCTAAATGAGGAGAGGGGCTCAGAGAACGTGAGTGGTTCTACATCTATCTATTAACTGCTAGAGCTGGGACATGTTCCCTGGTATACAGATCACTTATTTTACACACACACTTACTATAGACTTGTACCCAAAGATACGCACACACTCCAGATCTGCATCTTGTGCACTTCCTGAAGCACCAAGGCTCTTCTCTAAACCTTTTTTCTAGATTCATTCAATAGGTGAGAAATATTCCTTGAGTGCTACTATGTACCAAGAACCATGCTTAATTCTGGTGTGAACACAGCAAACAAGAAACCCTACTTCTCTGCTTCCTTGCTCTTCTGACTCCCTGAGGTCCCCAGAGTGTGCTGGAGGGCTGGGCTTGAGCTCTGAAGAGGTAACTAACTGTGGAAATGCCTGGAATGCCTGGACCTAGGGTTGTACATATGTATACACACCTATGCTGTCTCCCAGTAGTACCTATGTGCGCACAGACACAGGCATGCCCAGATAAGCACTAAGAATGTAGGCCACCCAGACCTGTTTGCCCCCACACACAAGGTCACATACGTTCATTCACTCCTGTTTGCACATACAGGTGCACAGGAAGCGGTAGTCGTATGTATGCATATTTGTGTGTGCAGATATACACACACTTACTGGAAACCTGTACCCAAAGGGTATGCACACACATCAGATGTACATCTTGGGTACTTCCTGAAGCTCCAGGGATCTGCTGTAACACCTTTTTCTAGATTCATTCAAGAGATGACAAATATTCGTTGAGTAATACTGCGTGCCAGGAACCATGCTTAGGGCTGGGGTGAACACAACAGTCAAACAAGAAACCCTGCTTCTCTGCTTCTTTGCTCTTCTGACCACAAAGGCCAGGGACAGGTGGCATTTTTATGGCCCTTGGTTTTCATGGCTACTGAATTATTTTAAAATCTAGGTGAAAAGCACATATATGCAACAGCTACTGGTACCTGGATCCAAAGAGGTTGTTACACTACTGGGCTTTTTTTTTTTTTTTTTTTTTTTAAGATGGAATCTGCTCTGTTGCCCAGGCTGGAGTGCAGTGGCACAATCTTGTCTCACTGCAGCCTCTGCCTCCTGGGTTCAAGCAAGTCTCCTGTCTCAGCCTCTCCAGTAGCTGAAACCACAGGCATGCGCCACCACGCTCAGCTAATTTTTGTATTTTCTAGTAGATATGGGGTTTCTCCATGTGGCCAGGCTGGTCTCAAACTCCTGAGCTTAGGTGATCCGCCTGCCTTGGCCTCCCAAAGTGCTGGGATTAAAGGTGTGAGCCACCCTGCCCAGCAAACTGGGTATTTGATTTGACTAGTCCAGCCCAGTACTGATGAGCTCAGAGCTAGAGAGTCATGGTATTCCTAAGAAGCTTGCCCTCTGTTACTATACCGAAAGGTCTCTAAGGATGGTTGAGTAGGTTGTAAACTGCACAAGAGTGCCCTGTTGTGAAGGTACCAAGCCTAGTACCAGAGGAAAGACTACCTTTTTCAAATAGGTCCACCTTTTTCAGGAGAGATAAAGATGAAGCTTCCTTTTTCTAGGAGACCAGCCCAGGGACGGTGTCCTCATCTGATTGGTCAATCTAGAGGAGGCAGCTTATGTTAATTTACACAAAAGTACAGCAGTACTAGCAGTTGCCCTATAACTGTTTTCTTTTCAGGGCTCCTGAAAGTCTGGCTGTCTCTGCTTCTCTCCACCACCTTGACCCTGACATTTCAGTGACTAACAGCAGAAAGCCCTATGCTCCATGGCTGCCAGCTCACATCCTGCTGGGCAGAGGGCATGATGCAGGCCAGCGCTCCAGCCACAGAAAAGGGAGTTTATGCTTTGGTCAGCTTGCCTTCTTTTCTCCCCCTTAATCCTGGCTGTTAAGAAACAGCCTGTGTCTTTACATGCTGCTTTCTCTCAAAATGGAACTTGTGATGGTATACCCTGAGGCCCCTGTCTCCTAAGAGAATGTGGCAAAATAATGATTTTTAATCTCTGTCTTTGAAGTCATCCATTCATTCAACAAGTATTTACTGAACTCTACCATGTAATAAATGTGTGTGGTGCTAAGGATCCTATGGGGGGAAAAACAGCCCCATGCCCTGTCCTCATGGAGTTCACAGTCTGCTTGGTAAGGCTGGGTTCTGTTGTGTGACCTTAGATAGTATACACAATGTCTCTGAGCTTCATCCATTCATTCATTCATATTTGCTAAGCATCTACTATGTGCCAGGCACTATGTGCTAGATGACAGGGACATAGCAGTGAAGAAGTCAGACACAATCCCTGCCCCAGTGCCCCCCCCACCCCCCCACCCCCACAGTTTCTTATCTGGTAGGAGAGAGAGAACTTGAACTAGTAATTCTAAGTAGGTCAGGCACTTCAGAAATGAGACCATAGGCCAGGCGCAGTGGCTCGTGCCTTTAATCCCAGCACTTTGGAAGGCTGAGGCAGCAGTGAGGATCACCGCCACCTCAGCCTTCCAAAGTGCTGGGATTAAAGAGTTTGAGATCAGCCTGGGCAAGAGTTTGAGCCCAAGAGTTTGAGATCAGCCTGGGCAACAAGACCCCACCTCTACAAATAAAAAATTTAAAATTCACTGGGCATGGTATCACGTGCCTGTAGTTCCAGCTACTTGGGTGGCTGAGGTGGGAGAATCTCTTGGCCCTGAGAGGTCGAGGCTGCAGTGAGCTGAGATCATGCCAATGCACCCTAGCCTGAGTGACAGAGCAAGATTCTGTCATTAAAAAAAAAAAAAAAAGGAACAATAAATGATAGTATATCAAGGCCTGCTGATTCTGTATCATGGAGGCAACAGTGATGGCCTCAGAAGGTTCATTCAGTTTTCCGGAAACATTTATCTGAGCATGTCATATCTGCCAGGCACTGTGATAGGTCCTGAGAAACACTGATTAATAAGACTATTAAACACTGATGAGTAAGTCCCTGCTTACAGGAGTCTCCCAGTCCTTAGAGATAAATAAGGAGTAAGCAAGTCATGGTCAGGTACCTGGAATATCCTCAGGACTCCCTCCAATCATTGGGCATCTCCCTCCCAATCCAGAAGATTCCCGGAAGACCAGCTTCCAGAGACACACCAAGAGTGGAGAACAGATCCATGACCCCCCTTGGTAGGGGATGTTTTGTGGGTATGGAGATCTCCCAAGATGGGGCGGCTGGTTACAGGAGACCAAGATACCCCTCTGGTCTCTGGACTTCTGTGTCACTTGGATAAAAGAAAGCCAATTTTGATGGGAACTCTCTGCTGTGCCACCAGCTGCTTCCCTGGACTCCAGCTGTGGCTTTTCAGGAGAGGCCAAGGCCGTCCTTGGTACATTATTAGAACCCTTTGATCCCAGGGAAAGCCACACATGTGTATTGGCAAATGGTGGCTGCTAGGGCAGTGTGTCTTAAGAGGACTCCCTGTCCTCTTATCACACAGACACTCATGAAAAACCTTGACATAAGAGTTGTGGAGGAAGACCATGGGCTGATCCCAGCCCCTGTCCACTGTCAGGCCATGACTGACAATGTACACATTCATCTGTGCTTGCACTCCGATGCAACAGGACATAAAGGAAAAATCTGCGCCAAGATCAATAAAGCCATAAAGACAAGGACCAAAGACAAGACCTGGCGGGGGAAAGAAAGCACATCAGAATTACTCCTTCGGTCCCTCGGTTCTTTTTCGTTGCCTTTTTTGTTTTCTATCAATTATTCAGCTCAATGTATTCAACAGATATTTTGAGCATAAATTCAATGCCAGGCAATTTAAATGTACCATGGAAACAGCAAATAATCAAAACAGAGCCCTTGCTGGAAGAGAGCTTATATTTAAAAGGCAGATACATTTTAAACAACTACATGCAATGTGATAGATGGTGACAATTTCTGACAGGGAAGAAAAAGCAAGGATGGGGGATAGAGCAATATGGGTGTTATTGGACGTAAAATGATCAGAGAAAGCCTCTCTGCTGAGCAGAGGCTAAAAGAAATAAAGGAGTGAACCAGGGGCATATCTGAAGAATAGCATTGCAGGCAATCAGAATAGCAGGTGTGAAGGTCCTGAGGCAGGATCTTGTGTCTTTCCTCTAAGACTGACTACCTACATTGGACAGCCTTAAGTTTGAAGAATTGCTCACTGCAGAGCGTCTGGGGATGCATGTGATGAATTTGTTCATGTGTTTACTCAAGAATTACTTACTAAGTACTGATTCAAACTGCAGAGGCAGGCTCCCTGTCCACAAATATCTTTTTTTTTTTTTCTTCTTTTTTGGGGACAGAGTCTCTCTCTGTTGCCCAGGCTGGAACACAGTGGCATGATCTAGGCTCACTGTAACCTCTGCCCCCTGGGTTCAAGCGATTCTTCTGCCTTAGCCTCTCAAGTAGCTGGGACTACAGGCATGCACCACCACACCTAGATAATTTTTGCATTTTTAGTAGAGATGGGTTTTCACCATGTTGCCCAGGCTGGTCTTGAACTCCTGACCTCAAGTGATCTGCCTGCCTTGGCCTCCCAAAGTGCCTCCCAAAGTGTTGAGATTACAGGCATGAGCCACCACACCTGGACTCTGTCCACAAATTTCTTTTCTTTTTTTTTTTTTTTTGAGACAGAGTTTCGCTTTTGTTACCCAGGCTGGAGTGCAATGGCGCGATCTCGGCTCACCACAACCTCTGCCTCCTGGGTTCAGGCAATTCTCCTGCCTCAGCCTCCTGGGTAGCTGGGATTACAGGCACGCACCACCATGCCCATCTAATGTTTTGTATTTTTTTTAGTAGAGACGGTGTTTCACCATGTTGACCAGGATGGTCTCGATCTCTTGACCTTGTGATCCACACGCCTCGGCCTCCCAAAGTGCTGGGATTACAGGCTTGAGCCACCGCACCCGGCCCACAAATTTCTTAACAGCTCTTAGAGGGAGACAGATAAATTGGCAGGTGAGTGTGATTGGAATTAGCCCCTTGAAACCTAGGAGCACAGAAGAGGTGTACCTGTGGAGTTAAGAAAGACTTCCTGGAAGAAGTGATAACATAGGAGGAAGCTGGGTGTAGAATGATGCAGGCTGAGGGAATAGCGAATGCAAAAGCTTGAAGATGAGAAAGAGGCCAGACAACCACAGATTGCCTAGGGCATGCAATGTGTGGTGGAGAAGTTGTAGGTGAGGTTGGAACTGTAAATAGAGGTCAGATCCCAGGGAGCATAGAGTGCTGGGAATGGGAGTTAGTACCAACTGATGTTACATTGACCTCTGGCTGCAGGGGAGAAAACAGAAACAAAAAGAATAAAAATGAAAGCAGAGAGACCCCTTAGGCAGCTATTAAAATCACTTGGGACAGGGTACAGAGGCTCAGGCCTGTTATCGTGGCACTATGGGAGGGCAAGAAGATCATTTGAGCCCAAGTGTTTAAGACCAGCCTGGGGAACAGCAAGACTCTGTCTCTACAAAACAATTTAAAGGTTAGCCAGATGTGGTGGCCCACAACTGTAGTCCCAGATACTCAGGAGGCTGAGGTGGGAGGATTATTTGAGCCCAGGAGATCAAGGCTGCAGTGAGCCTGTGATCACGTAGCTGCCCTGTAGCCTGGGTAACAGCGTTAAGACCCTTGCTTTAAAAAAAAAAAAAAATTACCTTCATAAGGAATGATGGGCTGAATTTGGATTGGCAAGGTGGTGATGGAGAAGAAAGGATTATTGGAAATGGGGGTAGAGGGAAAAAGAAAGGAGCTTGGAAAGGAAGAGGCCAAGTTTCTAGCTTGGATGATTGGGAGAGCAGTGGCACCTTTGATGAAAATCAGTGCTACAATGAGGAGGAGGAGATTTGGGGGATTCAATGAGCTCAGAGTTGCACTTGCTGAGTTTGGGGTGTTTCAAGCATCTCAGCTGCAGTGAGGGGTCCAGCAGTCAATAGGTGGATGGAACTGAAGTTCAAGGGAGTAGCAAAAGCTGGGAATACAGACTCAGAACTAACCAGCCTGGAGATGGTGTGTGAAACCATGAGATACCTTGATGCCTCCTAGGGAGAGTTTATGAAGTGACAAGAAAAATGGGACCTAACCAGCATTCTTAGGGACAGGATCTTGCAGCAACAGAGCAGAAATCTCCAAGTAGAAATAGGAGAATCACCAAAATACTATTATATGGAGTCAAGGAAATGCAAGGTACCCAGAAAAAGCAGTAAGCAAATGCAATCACAAAGGAGCAGAAACAAACTACACAGTGGATTTGGCTATGAGACCATCTCAGCAGGGAGGTTTTGGCTGCATGTTTCAGGCTGGAATGGAGAGGCCAGGAGAGGGATGGAGGAACTGACTTTGAAAAGGAGGAAGATCGCCCTGTCAGAAGTTGGAGGGGAAGGAGGGGAGGATGGAGGCCAATATTTATATGTTTATAGGGGAAGGAGCACGGTCAAGTGTTGTGGCCTAAATTGTTTTTGAAGTAAGATTCAAGATATCTGCTGAGAAAGGTGGTGTGAGTGGATGATGATAGCCACAGAGACAGTTTAAGAGGAATTAGAAGGTTAAGACTGGCCACTGGGAAGACTGGGATGAGCACCCAGTTGGACTGAATGGATCGATACGCTATTCAGTGGGCCCCAGTTGTCATAAGTTCCACATTTTAGAGACTTTTCTCCAGTTGCTCTAGGAGTAGAGGTGGCTTGTAGCACCTTTTCTTTTTCCAGGTTGAGGTTTCTCCCTCCCTTTCTTTCCTTATTATAGAAGGTGTTACCAATGCCAAGACCCTCCTGCTCCCTTGCCCCCCGTTGCCTTGGTTCCTTAAGGAACCCCAAAGTGACTGCCATTTTTTTCTGAAAAAGCTTTGGCTCTTTTATTAAGTCCATGATTTCTACCATGGCATGAAGACCAGGTCCAACCCTGGAGTTTAAAAGTCCAAGAAACTCTACAGCCTCTTCTCAGTCTCATGCCTTCCAATCTCTAGGGCAGGCTACATATCAAAAGGATTTAGAACAGGGGCTACTCTGATGCTTCTTTTGTCCAGGAACTTTAGTCTGTCCTTTGCCGTTCCAGAATCCATCATCACCGTATTAGCCATTCCCAGATTCTTCAGCATTGGAAATCTGGAGTTGGGTGGATTCTATGGACCAGGAAATGGAATTCTATGGAAATATCCACACTCCCTCCCTTTCTTTCCTTATTTTCCACCTTGCTCTAACTGGCCCCAAGCTCAATGGCCTTCAGGCAAAAGCAGAAATGTTCCAAGATGATTAGCTAGGAACACAAGGTACAATTGAAAATCCATTGTGCAAACAAGTGCCTGTTTGATTTTCTCTTTGCTTCCTTTTGGGCATTGAGGTTCCTTTCAATTTGTGTTTGGTTTCTGGTAATAAATATGGCACCAGTGTCATTGATTTATTATAAAGATTAAATATGAGAAATCATGGAAGTAAAGCAGTGTCCAGCGTCTTCAGCATTCAGCACACAGCACTACTGTTTGCAGGAAGCATTTGCAGGATGCTGAGGCAGCTGGAAGGGTTTACATTGTGAGGGGAGGGCCCTTCTTTTACCATCCTTTGCGTAAATGGTTTATTTCACCTCCATTCAACAAGCCCAGTGTGTGACCTAGAACTCCGATCATACTTGTGCACCAATCGAGGAGAGCCACATGGGTGGGAAATTGCAATAAAAAGACAGCCCACAGCAGGCTGTATTCCCATGGTTGGCCCTAGGAGGAGGAACGCTTTGTTCTCACTGGAGGTAAGTCCTGCTTTAAGTCCCAGGAGGCTTTCTCCTAATCCTGGGAAATCTTGACCCACTGGGCTTCCTAGGGTTTTTTGTTTCTGGAAATTTTCAGAACCCATGCTTCCAGTCATCTCCCAAGCTCCAGGCCTATAGATGCCACACTCTCCCTTGCCCCAGATGCTCCCACCAGGGAACCAGGTCTTTACTTGGGATCTCATCTCTAAGAATCACCAGTCCTGGGTGCACTCCATCCCTACTGTCTATGTATACTCACTATATCCCTGCCAGAAACAAATCTCTATTTTCCACCGAAGTCTTTCGGAGGTTGTAGGAAGTTATCCAAAGATTTGCCCATTCAGGGAAAGGATTTCCCAGAAAAGTAAATACCATCTAAATGTTGGCAGGCTTTTTGCAACTCTTCCTTTCTGCCTCACAACCCCCCAGCCCCCACTGGTTTATGTATTCATCCCTTAATCCTCTACTGAGTACCCCTTGTGTGCCAGATTCTGTGCTAGGAGCAAGGAATATGGGACTCAGTTTGGCATGATTTTACACTCACAGAAATCTGCATGCATAGAGGACATTTCAGGGGGCTCTTAGCAGCACCAGTGCATAAAACTAAGAAAGGGCAGCCAGTACTTTTGTGTGCAGGTATTCACAGTCACCATATCCCTCTTTCTCTATCCAATCTCCAGAGAGCCTCTACCTCCACCTGAGCAGGGACCATCCTGAGACCCTTCTAGGACATTCTGCCATACCAGCCAGCTCTAAGCTTGCCTTTGGTTTGCTTACTGTCAACTTCATCCCCCTGGCAAGTCTCCTACTCCCATTATCTCACTTCATCTGTCCGCAAGTCACACCTACTTTGAAACAATGCAGCTCTTCATGAAGGAAGTCAGCAGTTCTGTTTCTGAGAACATAGACCTGTGCCCTGATGTTACCTGGATCTTTCCTTTCCCATAGCTGTATGGGAAGTCTGCATACAGCAGAGTGACCTGCATGCCTCACCTTATGGAAAGGATGGTGGGCTCTGGCCTCCTGTGGTTGGCCTTGGTCTCCTGCATTCTGACCCAGTCATCTGCGGTGCAGCAAGGTAAGTAAGTATTCTGCTCACCTGGTGTCTCAGCTGTTGTGGAGAGTGAGGATAGAAGTGCAGAGAAGATGGCTCAGGTAAGGAAGCGGAATTGGCAGTTTTAAAGCAAAAACTCAGAGCTAGAAGTCAAGGGAAACATAAGGAGAAAAAAATGGAAATCAAGTCACAATCTCTCAAAAAGCCTAATCAGAAAATCTCCTGAAAGGATAGTGGGAGCCAGTTAACATGACTTCTTACGTCCATATCTTTGGGAGATCAGAGAGCCCAGATTAAAGAAGATCAAGAAATATATAACCCAGTCACCTTGTACTGGCAAGTGCCTTCTCCTTTTCCTGAAAGGACTAGATTAAGTGATCTCTTTGGTGTTTTCCAAAGATCTACGAATTGGGCAATTCAGATACTTGCAGAAAGGAATCTCAGGTTTAGAATTAGAGTGCAAATTTCAGCCCTGTGGAGGAGGGTGGGTGAGGGAACTGAGCTCATTGGGGGCTTCCAGTGGAAAAATACAGGGTGTGCAAAAAATAATCTAAGAATAACAAATGCAGTGATTTCTTGTTTTAAAATAAGTAAATGCATAAGCAAAGATTGAAAATCTCTTTTTCAGAAAGGCCCTTATAATATGCATTATAAGCATGTGCAAAACTTGAAAATCTCTTTTTCCAGAAAGCCCCTTTAATATGTATTATAAGCACATGATCCTGTGTGTGCATTTAGCTCCTTCTTCAGGCATCCACAGCATTCAACAAGTCAGAACTAGAAAAGAGAATTAGCTTTGACCCTGGAGCCTTGCTTGGCATTTTACACGTATTATCTCATTTAATCCTCTAACAATTGTTTAAGGCTTTCTTTCCCCAAATGGGGTGTATATACCCCAAGATGATTCTGGGGTGCCTGGCAAACTCTTAACCAGTTTTTAATTGCGATATGTTTATTTTTAAGCATACCTAAAAATATGACTAGTACATGATATGTATGTTATCACAGATGTTATTCTTTAAGACGAAACAAATTCTTAAAGAAGAATCATTGAAGGAAACATTTTAATTCAACAATAGGACAGGCAAACACACATATGGTAACATGACCCAAGGCATAGGAACAGATAAAATTTGAGAACAACTGGTTCACAGGTGTGGTTTTGCCAATGAGTCTCAGGGGACTTAAGTCACCTGCCAAGGTCACCCAGCCAGCAAGTGTGGAATTGGATTTGAACTCAGCCTGACCAGCCTGTGGTCTTCCTCCTTCACTTCTCTTCTCTTCATATGTCACAGTTTCTAAAACTGTTTTTAAAAATGGTAGATCAACAATCAAACATGGTCTTATTATATCAGTGGTTCTCACTTGGGGGTACTGTCCTCCAGGGGACATTTGGCAATGACTGGAGACCACTCTGGGGCATGCTGCTGGGATCTGGGAGGTAGAGGCCAAGGATACTCCCAAACACTCTACGATGCACAGGATGGTTCCTTCAATGAAGAATGACCCAGCCAAAATGTTGGTAGTGCCAAGATTGGGAATTCTCATGTGTTTACTATGCTACTGGTATGGAAAAACATCTATGCTCCATTCAGTAAAAAAATGCAAGTGAAAAAAAGATGTTGCACAGAATTAAACTTATCTTTATTTTTAAGAAAGCAATATATTTTAAACATGCCTAGGAATAATCTGAAGGCTATATAACAAATTTATGGTTACTTCTGGGTGTGAGACAGGCTTATGACAACTTTCATTTCTGCTTTATTCATTTTAATGATGTTTGAGGTTCTTTTTCAGTGAGTCTGTATTACATTTATAATGAGAAAAACAAATATTGGTCAAACAAGGCTGCTGTACATGGCTGCACAGGAAAAAACTTTGTTACTCTGAGGTGGGGAGGGAGGCTGTGCAGGACAGTGGCCCTGATGTCCTCAATGCCTGTAAAATACCACAGAAGGTCCTCACTGATTATTCTGACCCCACGGTGATGAAATTGATATTTAATTAATAGATTCTGTGTGTATTATCTCATTGGAGTCCTTAACATAGCCAAAATAGAGCATGGAGGGGAAAAAATCCTGAAGGTTGTGGCATTGCTCAGTAAGCTCAACTACACTCTGTCACTTTCCCAGGTTATAGAAACCCCGCTGCAGCCAGTTCCTATGGGCTGGACTTGGACTGCGGAGCTGACAACTGTTTTGACCCCTGTCAGAACTACACCCTCCTGGATGAACCCTTCCGAAGCACAGAGAACACAGAAAGGATCCAGGGGTGTGATAACAACATGAGCGGCTGGTACCGCTTTGTAGGGGAAGGAGGAGTGAGGATGCCGGAGACCTGTGTCCCTGTGTACCGATGCCAGACAGCTGCTCCCATGTGGCTGAATGGTGCCCACCCTACCTATGGGGATGGCATCGTCAACCGCACTGCCTGTGCCCACTGGAGTGGCAACTGCTGTCTCTGGAAGACGGAGGTGCTGGTGAAGGCCTGCCCTGGCAGGTACCATGTGTACCGGTTGGAAGGCACTCCCCAGTGTAGTCTGAGATACTGTACAGGTGAGCAGCAGAGCCCTGGAGAAGGCAGCTACACAGCCAATGAGATGCCCCCCAGCCTCAGTAGAGTGAGCGGAGCAAGTGAACAGGAGACAGGAGAGGGTGCAGAGGAGCCTCTACTCAGCTCCTGCCCAGCGAGAACGCAACACAGGGGTTGCCAGACCTTCCGACATTTCAAGTAAAGCCAGAAATTCCCATTCAAGGGTGAAATCTCCCAGTTTATAAATGTGTGTAGCATAAAATCTAGAACTCATGCTCATTCAGATTTTGTCTCCATTTAGGCAGTTTAATTTGCCTCCCTGAGCCCCAGTGTTCTGATCTGAATAAAAGTGGGTAAAGGCAAAAATAACAGCTAACACATAATGCTCATAATGTCCCTGTTGCTATCCTAAGTACTTCAAATGCATTAACTCATTTGATCCTCTCCCCATTTCCATGAGATAAGTGCTACCTAATTACCCCAATGAGGGGCACAGAGAGATTAAGGAGCTCTCTTAATATCACAGAGCTAGAGCATGGTAGAGCTGCGGTTTGAACTTGGCATTCTGGCTCCAGCATCCATGGGCTTAACCACCATGCTGTGCTGTTTCATGTTGATTGAATGGACTAATACACGCATTGTCCTTAAAATAAAGTCTTGCCTGTAATAAGTGTTGAGGTGGCACCTTCAGGGTTCTCACTTATTCTACTGGACTGGGAGTCAGGAAATCTGAGTTTGAGGCTTGATGCTTCCAGTAAATATTGCACACCCTTGGCAAGATTCTTGTGCCCTGGTGGAATGAAAGAGTTGGACTTGGGGGCCTCAAGTCCACCCCGCACTGCATCCTGATCTTCTCCCTCCATTCTCCATCCCCTAGACCCCTCCACTGTGGAGGACAAGTGTGATAAGGCCTGCCGCCCCGAGGAGGAGTGCCTCGCCTTCAACAGCACCTGGAGCTGTTTCTGCAGACAGAACCTCAATATCTCTGGTGAGCAACTCACTGGGCCAATGATTAGCATCCTGAGTGGTCAGGGCAGGAGGGAGGGAGCTTTAGAGGGTGACGATAAGGTATAAAGCCGAGGGGGACCTGGATCTGAAGTCAAGGGAATGTGGGAGCTCCAATCCACTTGCTGTAAAGCCAGTGGGTTTGCTAGGATAGCAGAGCAGGGTTGGAGCAAATTTCCAATTCAGCTGCTGGGGCACAGCCTCATGAAATGGTTCCAACATTGGCAAGCTTGATCCCTGAGGGATGAAAGCACTGAAGATGAGAATTCTGAAAGTGTGAGAGCTATGTTTTCATAGCCACAGGGTCTTCATGTCAGGGACCAGGGCAGACTTCTGGGGACAAGTCACTACTGTCTCTGATCTTGAATGTCCTCATCTGTAAAATGAGGATAAGGTAATCACAATACCCACCATATAGGGCTATTGTGAGAACTAAATCAGAGCAGTCCAATTGGGCAGGCTCAAGAGGTGATGAGTTTCTTGTCCCAGAAGGTGAGCAAGCAGAGTGAGATGGCTCACGGGTAGAGATGTCATAGACAAATAAGCACTAAGCCTCCCACTGAGATTATTTTCCTCTAACACTGAACTCTAGCAAGGGCCTTTGATCTTGCCCTTGGCACAAGCATGCCTGCCTCCTCGCACACGCCCAGTCCCTATGGAAGACAGTGTTCTAGGTAGCAGGACAAGGAGCATGACGCATTTGGAAAGCAGGGCTGCAGTGTGAACAGGGTGATGCTTAGACGTGCTCAGCAGAAGCAGCCTGGGTGATGAGGGGCAGGGAACAACCAACAACCTTGATCTCCTTGAAGACTTTTTCTGCTCATTGGGTGGATGAGGCCCCAGAGAGTCAGTGTGGTTTTCCAGAGTTTGGGCCCATCACAGTCAGACTTTCGGCTTTTAGGATGCCCTCCCTGTACCTGGATGGGCTCCAAGGACATCCTCAGCTGATTGAGAGAGCAGGTGTCTTCCTCACTTCTTCATCAGTGGCCAGCAGAATGGTGGCTGTCCAGTGAGCCCCATTGCTTGCAGACACATCCCTCTGTGATCTGACTTTCTTTTCCTTCTCCATCTCCCACACCCCCTTCTCATTTTAGGTTCCTACACCTCTGAACTCTGCAGTTCCACAAATGCACCATCCCCTCTATCCCATCTCCATGCTTTTGCCTCTGCTGTTTCTTTAGCCTGGGCTGCTTTCACTTGCTTTACTCACTTGCAAAACTCCCACCCTCCTTTCAAGTTTCAGCTCACTATGATTCCTTCCCTGGCTTCATCAAGAGACTTAGAAAGACCTTCTTCTGTGCTTCCCCGGAATCTGTACATTCTTCTGTTCGTATCTTTATCATATTGAAGTATAATAAGCTATTGGTATGTTGGTGTTTACACAAGACCAAGAAATCCTCATGGGCCGAGTCCATGTCTTACTTTATTTTGAATGCACCTAGCACTTGAGAAGGTGGTTGGTAAAGTGGCTCATGCCTGTAATCCCAGCACTTTGGGAGGCCAAGGTGGGCAGATTGCTTGAGGTCAGGAGTTTGAGGCAAGCCTGGTCAATATGACAAAACCCTGTCTCTATACAAATACAAGAATTAGCTGGGTGTGGTGGTGCAAGCCTGTAATCCCAGCTTCTTGGGAGGCTGAGGCAGGAGAATCTCTTGAATCCAGGAGGCAGAGTTTGCAATGAACTGAGACTGTGCCGCTGCACTACAGCCTAGGCAACACAGTAAAACTCTGCCTAAGGGGGAGGGGAAGAGAGAGAGACGGGGAGAGAGAGAGAGAGAGAGGGAGAGAGAGAGAGAGAGAGAGAAGGTGGTTGGTAAATATATGCTCAATCAATGCATTCATGAATGTAATAGAAACTGTATTTCTGTTAGTACACTATTTGTCTCCCCTATTCAAATGTTAGCTCCATAAACGTGAGAATTCTGTCAGTTTTGGTAAGTGTTGTAGCCCCAGTGCCTGGCAGATAGTAGACACTCAAGAAGTTGTGTGTTAAATAAATGTTGAGTTAACGAATATGATAGCTCTGAACCTGGTCAGATGTGCTGGCTCAACAAGGTAGCATATATCTAACTTTGATTCTAGTATGGAATGCAAGTCCATTCTGCCTCCCCAAATAACCCAATCCCCAAGGGAACTAGACTGAAAAACCTTAGCCAAGCCTGCACATAGGATGCTTGGAAATCTTGAATACAGGGACTGTTTGCCAACCTCACCTACTGCCAGTCTAGGCATGCATTTCATCTGGATCCCAAGGACCGTCTAGTCTACATAATCTTCTGGGTCATGGAGAGTTTCCCAAAGAGTAGGGAAAGTGGGCTTCCAGACTTGTATCCATTTCACTTGCCTTCATCTCTGCTTTGCAGATGTCCACAGTTTGCAGCCTCAGCTGGACTGTGGGGCCAGGGAGATGAAGGTGAAGCTGGACAAATGTTTTCTGGAGGGCGTGGGCTTGGGGGAAGAGGTCATTGCCTACCTGCGAGACCCAAACTGCAGCAGCATCATACAGGCAGAGGAGAGAAACTGGATATCTTTGACCAGCCCTGTTCAGGCTAGTGCCTGCAGGAACATTCTGGAGGTGAGTGGCTTTCACACCACTGCTGCCAGAAGGTATGTTTGGGCTGATGGGACCTATCATAGTAGCTCTGAGATCTTGGACAAGCCACTTAGCTTTCCTGGGCCCCCAGGGTTATGTGAGAGTACCCATGTTAGTTTACATAAAGAGCTTAGTATGAGTCTGACATGTGAGTTTCATAAATGTAAGCTACAATTATGATGATTTTAATTAGGGCTGATGGGGGAGGGATACACAGAGAAGCAAGCTTGTTGATTCCTGACTCTTCCCAAGGGTCAATAATTTATTGTTCTAGTTTTTTATCTGGTGTCTTCATTCCCCTTCCCATAAAGTGTCAGTAACACTGAAGGAGGAGGTCCGTTTACCTCCATGAACTTAGAAGGCAGGGTGGCTGCATGGTTGACCACATTGACTCTGGAAATCAGATCTGGATTTGAGATACACCTACACACACATACACATAAAGATCTGTGTGGTTTTGTTTTTATGCCAAAGAGAAATCAAACCCATGTCATCTATAAAAACACCATCTCCTTGGTCAATGATTTCATCATCAGAGACACCATCCTCAACGTCAACTTCCAATGTACCTACCCGCTGGACATGAAAGTCAGCCTCCAAGCTGCTTTGCAGCCCATTGTAAGGTATGGCATCAACCATTGCCCTTTGACCCCTAACCTTGGCATTAGTCACATCACACTCACTTCAAGTGCAGACTATGATGTCCACACCATACTGCTAACCTCCTCCAGAAGCTTCCAGTCATTCAAGCATTCATTCCACAAGTATTTACTGATTGTATATTAAAGATGTTCAGCATGAACAAGGCAGACATAGATTATTCTGTGAATATTAGAGATTATTATAACTATGCAATTCAACAACATGAAACGGTGCTTACTAAATGTGCTAGAAAACAAAAACACACGGCAAGTTCATTCACCTTGAGGAACAAAAATATTAAACAACTAATTAAATCAATAATTACTTACAAGCAAGATGGATGTAATGTAGGAGAAACGTGGGATGCTTTGGGAGCAGAGAAAGGGGTCCCAGATCCCTGTTAGTAGTGGGTTTAGTGGAGACAGGACAGCTTCCCTGCAAACATGAGATTTAAGCAGAGACCAGCTTTTAATGGATTAAGCTGCACCCCATCCCCAGCAGAAATAGCATCAAATAGCAGTTTGGGAGAATTCTATGTGAGCAGGGGCTTTTGTCTGTTTTGTTGTGTTTCTGTTCCAGAAGTGGGGCCCTGTTGAATCAGTTCTTTAGCATTCCTAGACTTGCCAGGGGACTTTCTGGGGTGTCAAAAAATCTGGAGTGCCCATCTCATTCCTTATTGCCCCCTGGGCTCACAAAGCAACAGGATCAGAAGGATTAGAAATTTTCTAATTCAGTGGTTTGCAGATGGTATGGTGCTGGGGATCCTGGTTTATAAAAAATAAAAAATGAAAGCCATTTATCTTGCTAAAACTGGTGTTTCACTAAAGACTGTGGGATGGAGGGAAGAGATCTGCTACTAAAAAATGTGAACTGGTTCCGAGCCCCACTGTCCAAGTGAGAAGATGGAGGTATACACTCAGTTATTCCTTCAGTGAGGGAGATAGGTGCAACCTCTCATGCAGGGAGGATAGGTGGAAATCCTGAAGGCAGACATGTCTGTCAAGTTGAGTGCCTGGAAGCTAATAAATGCTTAGTTTAAATGAATGATCCAATAGTTCACTTAACGATCCAAGATGTGTGTCGTTGCCTTCATAAGCGTGTTAAGTAAGTGCAGGGCTTGATTTATGTTGTTCTCTCTGAGGTTCCCACTCTTGTGGCTTTCCTTTTCTCAGTTCCTTGAACCTCAGTGTGGGTGGGGATGGAGAGTTCACTGTCAGGATGGCCCTCTTCCAAGACCAGAACTACACGAATCCTTATGAAGGGGTTGCAGCTGAGCTGTCTGTTGAGTCCATGCTCTATGTGGGTGCCATCTTGGAGCAAGGGGACACCTCCCGGTTTAATCTGGTGTTGAGGAACTGCTATGCCACCCCCACTGAAGACAGAGCTGACCCTGTGAAGTATTTCATCATCAGAAACAGGTAACGAGCAATTCTGGAATTACCATTTGGCCTTACTAACGTTTATAGGAAAATGTTCATCTCATCCATTCCCTAGCAAATGTGTAAGTTGTATTACATATCATAACCACACTCTTTGACCCAGAAATATCACTCCTGAGATTTTATTAATACTAAAGTATTAATACCAAATGGGTAGGTAGGGTAAAGAAATGTCAATATTTTCCCTTTCAATGTTCTTGATAACTTTGGCAACAGGCTCATTGTTCAGAACTAGGGGATCAATGTGGTAGTGATGGATTATTACCCAGAAGTGAACACTGGTCAATATGAAAACAAAACGATAAATGTTGTGGGATGGAATGTTATTGAACACTGCTGACAAAAAACAAGGGAAATGCATTTCTATAGATCATGATTTAAATCATAGCAATAATGCTGGCTGTGTTTGTCATTGCGATTAGCTATGTGCCAAGCAATATATGTGGATTATCTGATTAAACGCTCACATCAGTCTCACAAAGTGGATATTACTGTCTCCACTTTACAGATAAGAAAAGTAAAGTTCAGCAAGGATGAGGAACTTGCCCATAATCACTTAGCTAGAATGTGGGTCGGGCTAGAATACAAGACCGGTCTGTTTCACTCCAGAGACTGTGCTCCCAAATAATTTAAGCCATGTGAGCTTATGGATGACATCTTGGAGCAAACACAGGAATAGAAGAAGTCCATGTTGTCATGACGGAGGAGGTCTGAGGGCTCTTTAATTTTCTCCACTGCTGTTTTTAGTAGTCACACCTTTGCCCTGTCACCCTCCCAGCTGCCCAAATCAACGTGATTCCACCATCCACGTGGAGGAGAATGGGAGGTCCTCTGAAAGCCGGTTCTCAGTTCAGATGTTCATGTTTGCTGGACATTATGACCTAGTTTTTCTGCATTGTGAGATTCATCTTTGTGATTCTCTTCATGAACAATGCCAGCCTGTGAGTGTCTCTTTGGAATGAACTCTTCAGAGGCTGGCATGGCGCCTTGTATCTGATAGGCTCTCCACATATATTTATTGGAATTATGAATGGAGGGCGGGTGAGAAAAAGGGGAAAGGAAGGGAGGGGAGGGGAGGGGAGCAGAGGGGAGGGGTGGGGACAGATGGGGAGGGTAGGGTAGGGTAATCAGAAAAGGAAGGGAGAGGGAAGAAAAGAGAGAGGGAGAAAGGAATACAGGAGGGATGGAGAAGGAAAGGAGGGAAGAGGAAGGAAAGAAGGAAGAAAGCAGGATGAAGAGATGCAAAGAGATGGGCAGGTATATGGACGGGAGGGAAGGAAAAACAAAAGATGAATAGATAGACTCTAGGTCTCCTAAAGGCCCATTTCTAAGCAATTTTTGTGTTTCCAGGAGGCAGATTTGATAAGGAAATCTGTCTACTAATTTCCACTGGCATGTGTGCGTGAGTGTGCGTGAATGCACGCATGCGCATGCGCATGTGCGTGTGTGTGTGTGTGTGTCTGTGTGTGTGTTTTGAGATAGTCTCGCTCTGTTAGCAGGCTGGAGTGCAGTGGCACTGTCTCGCCTCCGCCTCCCGGGTTAAAGCGGTTCTCCTGCCTCAGCCTCTCGAATAGCTGGGACTACAGGTGCGTGCCACCACGCCCAGCTAATTTTTGTATTTTTAGTAGAGATGGGGTTTCACCATATTGGCCAGGATGGTCTTGGTCTCCTGACCTTGTGATCCACCCGCCTTGGCCTCCCAAAATGCTGGGATTACAGTCGTGAGCCACCACACCTGGCCTGGCATATTTTAAATGATTGTAATCATAGATTACCTTTTTAGGGCTTGCTCTTTGTCAAGTATCATGCTAAAACTTTTGCATACCTTTTCTAATTTAATTCTCAGAACAACCCTTTAAGTAGATTATTTTATCTACCCCACTGTGAGGTTCAGAGAAGTCTTTGCCCACAGAGCCACACACAGTTAGAAAATATCAGAGCCAGGATGTGCCCCAGCCAAGAGGTGACTCCAGTGCCCCTGCTCTTGCCTGCATTTGGCATTGCCTGTGAATAGTTGGCATTTTCCAAGTGCTTACCTTGTGCCCACATGTTGCAGGCACATCTCATTTTCATCTTCACAACCAGGTAGGTATTATTTGTAGAGTGGCAAAGTCATTGACCCCAGTTTATGTAGCTAAAAGAAAGTCTCCACTTGATGAGATTCAAAGCCAGATTTGTTTGAGATGACAGTAATAATTTTCTAGATCGAGATAAACACAGCATCAGAATGAGGGCCATAGCATGAACCAGTTCTGGACCCAGTTCTTGGTCCAGAGCTGTCCATTGCAGGACCAGTCAAGATAGAATCCGGGCATTTACATTTTGATTAATAAGAGTTCATCATCCCCACAGTCTTGCTCAAGAAGTCAAGTCCGCAGTGACGTACTGGCCATAGACCTAGCCCGGGTTCTAGATTTGGGACCCATCACTCGGAGAGGTAAGTGGCCAAATTGTAGTGATGAGACCAGCTGGCTAAGTGTTGGCAGTTAACCACAGAGGCCCGACGTCACACGCCCAACTCCTCAGGACTTTCTTGCCTCCTCAATCTGACCCTTACTAAAAAACCGATTCATTCAGATTAATAATAACAATATAGCCATTTGTACCTCCTGTGTGCTTAGAGACCAGACTAAGTTCTTACATCCATCAATTCACTTAATCCTCTCCTGCCTGCATCCATTTCACAGGTGAGAAACTAAGGCTCAGAGACATTAAGTGACCCATGCAAGATCCCCCTACTCATGAGTGGCTAGAGTTAGGATTGAACCCAGCTCAGTCTGATTCCAAAACATGTGGCCTTTTCCTTATTCTGTCTCCTTCCAGGTCCCCATAACTCAGTTCCTTATGAATGAAGTGTAAGTCCTAAATCTGGTTTAAATGCATCTTTGTTTTCTGGTGAATGACTGTGTTCTCCAAAATTCATTTACAGTGTTCTGGAGTATGATATAGGGGAGGCTTTCCAATGGCTCCTCAAATTTTCATCCATCCTACTCATGAGTTTGGAGTAGTGTTTAATTAGTGTTTTTATTTCTACCAGGAGGGAGAAGTGAAAGAATGAAAGCCTTTTTTCTTTTTTCTTTTTTTTTTTTTTTGCCCTAAAAAAATTAAGATGCAGTATCTTAATAGTAGTAATAATAATACTTTCTTTGTGCCTGGCACATTGTCAAATGCCTTTATACGCATGATCACTTTGAATGTTCATAGTAGGCAAGGGAGGTAAACGTTATCACCATATTTATTCTCCAGAGCAAATGGAGGCTGTCTCATGAAGAAGGCTCTGCCCTGAGATTGTCCTACCATTTTACTAAACTCTCAACTTGAAGCCTCAAGTGGCATCACAGGGTAACTTGGTGGAGGTTAAGAACTTCCATTTTTGAATCAAACATACTGGGTTTTGAATCTCAGCTCTGCTACTGACTGGCGAGGTCAACTTGGCAAGTCCTTTAACATCACTGAGCTCCCGTCTTCTCTGTCAAATGGGGAAGAGAATACTTTCCTCACAAATCTGTTAGGAGGATTAAGTCTAAGATGCATGCATGTCTAGAAAAGTGCCTGTGACACATCATAGATGCCCCCACAATGTGGATGGTTAGTGGTTGTGATGGCCAGATCTAGAAGGATTTGAAGCAGTTATGGCCACAGTGCTGCAGTCAGTGGAGCATGACTGAGGAAACCCTCCCCTTCTGCTCTTGTTCACAGGTGCACAGTCTCCCGGTGTCATGAATGGAAGTCCTGGCACTGCAGGTACGTTATTTTCTCGTGGCTTTCCCACAACCTTTTAACTCTCCTTCCTCTTTTCAATTCTGCCCCTTTCATGGCCCAGATCCTATGCTAGGGACACTGACATTAATCAGACCTAAGAGTGGCTCTTGAGATGCCCACAGTCTATTGGAGGAGACAGTCCTTTTACAAGAAATATATACTGAATGCCCACTGTGTGCCAGACCTTGTTCTAGGCACTGAAGATGTGATGGTAAAGAAAACAGCCCAGGTGCCTGCCCTCATAGAGCTTATGCACCAGTGTGGAAAGTAGAAAATAAAAAGTAAACATGATACTTTAGAAATAAAAGGAAGTAATGTGATAGAAGAGTAATAATGCCTTAAGTAAAATAAACATTCATATCTCTTTTTTTTTAACTTAAGAACTTTTTATTTCTTTTTTTAAACTTATTATACTTTAAGTTCTGGGATACATGTGCAGAATATGCAGCTTTTTACATAGATATACATGTGCCATGGTGGTTTGCTGCACCTATTAACCCATCATCTAGGTTTTAAGTCCTGCATGCATTAGGTATTTGTCCTAATGCTCTCCCTCCCCTTGCCCCTGACCCCCAGCAGGCCCCAGTGTGTGATGTTCCCTTCCTTATGTCCATGTGTTCTCATTGTATAGATGTTCATTTCTGTCACACATAAATGAAGCTCAGAGGCAAGCTGCCCAAATCTAGTGGGGCAGCACTACAAAGTCATCAAAGACCCAGGGTCCTTCCAGCTCACAGCTCCACCATCTATGGGATATAGCCATCATCTTCATGTTCCAAGATGGTGGCCAGAGACCCAATCTTTCTATCCAGGCAGCAGGATGGAGGGAACAAGGAAGAAGCCAATGAGTGCAAAAGACATTCTGAAAGCTGGCACCTTATACCTCCACTTACATCTCATTGGCTGGTGCTTGGTCACATGCCACACCTAGCTGCAAAAGAAGCTAGGAAATGTTATCTTTATTCTGGGTGGGCCATGTGCCTAACCAATGTTTAATGGCTTTATTAACAAGGTGGGAAGGAAGAATGACTATTAGAATGGAAAAGTGGTCAGAAAAACTTTCAGAGAAAGTGATGTTTAAGCCGAATAAGAAAAATGAGTTGGAGGTGAAAATCCTAGGGGAATGAGCCCCATAGGCACGGGAACACCAACAATTCATTGCACAAGTGAGACAGGCACTTGAGCAGATAAATGACAAGCAGATGGATAGTGCAGAAAGAGTATATGACAAATTAACTGTATTGGATAAGGTCTGGAAAGAATTTCAACAGGTAGTAACATCTGAATGGGGTTTTGATGAATGACTTGGAGCTGAACAAGCTGACTGATCAAAGAAATATCACACACACACACACACACAGATACATAACATTTTTACATATTTATAGGATACTAGAAATATATTTTGGACAAAATGAAAGCACATACTATTAAGATTTGATTTCCCACAAAATGACCTATATTGATAAACCCAGACATGAGAAGGTTCTTTCCCTCCTTAAAGGCCAAACTTAGACAGCAGTTTTTAAATTTCCCAAGTAAGTCCAAGATGGACTCTTTATGCTCAGTGCTAAAGTTCAGACAATGCTAAGAAAAGTCATGCTCCAGTAGAGTTCATTCTAAAAGCAGCTTGGGCTGGGCGCGGTGGTTCATGCCTGTAATTGCAGCACTTTGGGAGGCTGCTGAAGTTGGTTGGGAGTTTGAGACCAGCCTGACCAACATGGTGATACCCCATCTCTACTAAAAATACAAAAATTAGCTGGGTGTGGTGGTGCATGCCTGCAATCCCAGCTACTTGGGAGGCTGAGGCAGCAGAATCGCTTGAAACTGGGAGGCAGAGGTTGTAGTGAGCCAAGATTGCGCCATTGCACTCCAGCCTGGGCAATAAGAGTGAAACTCCGTCACGAAACAAACAAAAAATACGCAGCTTGAAGTCAGGGACCTTTAGTCTCATTCCTTTTTGCCAGCCCTTCTGGTTAGCCCAGTGCCAGGAACAGTGTAGTTTTCCAGTAGAGTTTGCCAAATTGATTAATTTCTAGAATGGCTGGTGGATTTTGCCCCTTCTGGACAAGGAGGGGATGAGTCTGATGTTGAGGCAGCTGACCCACCACAAGAGGGCACTTGTGGTTTTCATTGTCTACTATCTCCCACAATCATCTTTGATGTTTTGAATTAATTGACCATCAACCTGTTTTATAATTATAATTTTTTGTCTTTCATTGTGTCTGAAATTTATGGTATTTCTCTCCTCACTTCTAGGACATCAGCTAGTTACTTTGAAATTGGGGGAATGGGGAGATTTTATATTTTGGTAGTATGGCAGGAGGGCTCACAGGTTTCTCCTAGGTCTTCTGATACGAGACAGTTATCATCTGGGATCCAAGTCCTTCATTGAAACTGAGTATACAGTGATGTGCCAAAGAGACACAGTCCCAGCAGAACTAGATCTTAGAGTCTAACTTTTCAAACCAACATTTATATAGTGTTTATATGTGTCAAGCACTGTTCTCAATGCTTGATACGAAGTCATTCATTTAAGTCTTACAAAAATCCAGTGAAGTCACAGGTACTATTACCATTTCTCTTTGGCATACAGAAAAATACAGGCACAGAGAGGTTTAATAAGCTTTCTGGGACTGCTCAGCTAGTTGTAGAGCTGAGATTCTAAGCTAAGTAATCAGGCCTCAGAGGCAGTGCTTTTTAACCTCTATGTCTTTCTGCCTCTTCAGCATTAGTCAGCATAAGTAATGCTAGCTGCTGTAACAAACAGTCCCCATTCTTCTGTGTCTTTACACAACAGTATTGTTTCCCACTAAATCACTGTGGGAGGGAATGCAGTTCTGCTCCATGTAGTCAATAGCAGCTCAGGCTTCCACTATTTTCTGGTAACTTCTGCCAACTCCACTATTCCCTGCAAGTCCTATCTTGGACTCTGCCTCTGCTCCCTAAACGGTAGATGAGGGAGCAACAGGATATATAGAAGTCTTTAAGGACCAGGCATAGAAATGGCACAGATGACTTCTACATACATTTTATTGGCCAGATTCAGTCACATGGCCCCACCTACTTGCAAAGGATGCTGGGAAAAATTGCCTTCCTGTGTGTCCAGAGGAAAATGAAAAAATGATTGGTGATTGGATAGCTTTGCCTTTACCATGTGAGTCCCAGAGGCTATAACCAGGCCGGATATTAAAGATACTTTGCCTGTCTCATCCTTTTGTTTGCTGCTGACACCCAAAGCCCAACTCTTGACAGTCATCTCTTTTGTATTTCAGGATTCCTGGTAGCCTGGCCCATGGTCTTCCTGACCGTTCTCCTGGCTTGGCTGTTCTGAGAGCACCCCTGAGCATCTGGCCTTGAAGTCTGTGTTCTTCCCTCTGGCAACGACTCCCTTCAGCACTTCTGGTTCCCATTCCAATTCACACAGTCTTGGTATTAACAGACTCAAGGTCAGGCTAGGTTTAGGGAAAGGGAAGAGTTTTCACCTTCTTTAAAACTCTTTAGACCGGGCGCGGTGGCTCAAGCCTGTAATCCCAGCACTTTGGGAGGCCGAAGCGGGTGGATCACGAGGTCAAGAGATCGAGACCATCCCGGTCAACACGGTGAAACCCCGTCTCTACTAAAAATACAAAAAATTAGCTGGGCATGGTGGCGTGTGCCTGTAATCCCAGCTACTCAGGAGGCTGAGGCAGGAGAATTGCCTGAACCCAGGAGGTGGAGGTTGCGGTGAGCCGAGGTCGCGCCATTGCACTCCAGCCTGGGGTAACAAGAGCGAAACTCCGTCTCAAAAAAATAATAAAAAAAAAAACTCTTTAAAAATGCCTTTGTGTTTCTCTTTTTCTCATAGTGGGGTTCCTGTCAGTCTGTCCTGGGCTGCCCTTCTCGTTTGTTAATGAGACCTTGAAAGCAAGCTTGTTAGGTGTCTTCTGTGGCTCCCGCCTTTACTGGAAGTGTGGCACATGTTTTTAACACCAGGGAAGAGGTATCCTGTCACTGGGGTATGGGACAAGCCTGCAGAAGAGGCACCAGCCATGACTCCTTCCTAAGCATCTCCTGTTCTGACTGCTCATGAATTGGAGGCTGACCCTTGCTTTCACTCTGCTTCTTCTGATGCGTTTCTATCATGGTTTCCCAAAATCGCCATAGGAACATCTCTAAGGGCCACTTTAGGAGGCTTTGCCCCGGAAAAACTAGTCCCCATCCCTCCCCTATCCCCTGCCACGCCACAGACATGCTGTGACTTAGAGAACCAGGCAAACATCCTTGGGACCTGGATGCTGGAGGAATGAACTTGACTTTGATGCAGAAACTCCATCACCCAAGGGAACACCTCTTGCTATAAACAGTGCTGTGCTTGCTCAGAAGGATTAAGCAGGGAGTCCCAACAGAAGCAATGCACCAGTCCTGCTATGGAAATGTAACTGCAAAGCCTGGGAGATGGGTGAAGTCCCTTTCTGGAGATCTTTAATGAGTATTTCAAAGCACTCCACAAAGATGCAACAAATAGGGCATCATACATACATCGGCATTAATACTCATGGGCATATAGATACCGACATGTGTACACTGACTTATGCCCTTCCCACAGCTACAGATAAGGCCTCGCAAAGCTGACCTCAGAGGACACATCAGGAGCCAAGGTGGACCAACAGTCGCCAAGCCTGTGTATCTGCTTGAAGGAGATGTTTCAATGTGCTGCCTTGTTCAGAGATGTTGTGGTTGCAAGAAACAGGAACCCACTACAATTTCTCAGGCCAAAGGGGAGTTAATTATAGGGACATAGGAGCACAAAGTTCAAGTGCAAGAGATACATAAAGGCTGCACAAACTCTGGGAGTGAGGCCTGGTGAGCCAAAAGAAACCAAAGTTTGTCTTTCCTTTAGTCCCTCTTCTGGAAGTCACATAGCTTTTTATGACTGCATGTCTTTGCTTCTCCTTTGTTTTCTTTTCCTGTCTCTGAAGCTAGCTTTTCCTGTTCACTTATCCCTTGATTAAATATGGACATTCCAGCTTCACGTCACTTCCTAGTTTTGGGACTAACAGAGACTGATTAACATGCTGCTATCCCTCCTCCAAATTGCATCAGGGAATTTGATTTCGCTGTTTGGGTCAGGGTCCAATAGTCTGGGCCAAGGGACTGGGACCATCTAGCACACAGCCAAAGGGGCTGACCTGATGGAGAAGGTCTCACACAATTGGGGTTGTTTCTTGGCCAGACATCCCAAAGGCCACTATGATAGTGGCTTCTCTAAAAGAGGGGTTCTTGAGAGGAATTGCCTTCTGTTTCCCAGTGAGTTAGAGAAGTCATACTTACTACATCCTAAGGCAGGTGGCATGGTAGGACTAGGCCGGAAAGAGAGGTCAGGTTCTAAGCTTCTCCCCTCTCTGAGGCTCAGAAGCTCCATTCTCTAGAATAATAAAAGAGGTTGGTCTGTAACAAGATTTTTAAACATTTATAGTAGTGGAACTTTAAATACAATTTAACATGAACATCCAGTATGGAGAGATTAAAAGCAAATCGATTCTTGTTGATGTCAGATGGGGGGCTTAGCTCTCCCATTCTGTAATTTCTTTCTCTGCAGGCCCTCAAATCAACTCCATAATAACTCGTAGCGCTGCCAGAGCCAAAGTTTTGAACCTCCCTGGGACATATGAACTTTACTATAACTTCCAGGATAAAGTACATAGGATTTCATTTAGAGCCAATCCTAGCTATCTGTCTGACTGTCTACCTATCATCTATCTATCTATCTATCTATCTATCTATCTATCTATCTATCTACCTATCTACCCATCTTATCTATCTTCCGTCTATCATCTACCTACTATCTACCTATCATCTATTTATGTACTTAATTATTATCTAGCTAGCTAGTTACACCTTTCTGTTTTTCACAAATGGTCATGTTGTCTGAATAACAATCTCTGAATGTCCAGTCCACTTCATTCATTCAGTCAACACAAATTTACTTAGCATATCCCAGATCCAGGGGCCTGGGTACAATAATTAATTAGATGCAATCCCTTCCCTTAGAGGGTTCACAATCCTGGCAGAACACAAACACCCATAGAGGCACTCACAAGCAAACCACAACACACAGGCTCACTTGCCCCCAGGCACAGACCTGTATACCCAGAGGAGTCTATCCACACCAACACACACATTCCAGCAGACACACACATCAATCTCATGTGCCCAGAGGCACAGATGCACATGCAGAAAGCCTCAGAGACCCTCAAGCCAGCCACTTACCTATTTTTTGCCGTGAATTACTTTATAACAACCAATATTTTTAACACCCCTATGTATGATGCCCTATTTGTTGCATCTTTGTGGAGTGCTTTGAAAGGCATTATTTTAAGTGGATTGTGGGCATTATATCATTCCACCCTCACATTAGACATTGAAGGTAGCCACTATTGTTACCTTCAATTTAGTGATGAGTAAACCAATGCTTTAAAAAAGATAATTACTCAAAGGCCTATAGTTTTTTTGTTTGTTTGGTTTTTTAGACGGAGTCTCACTCTGTCACCAGGCTAGAGTACAGTGACACAATGTCAGCTCACTGCAACCTCCACCTCCCGAGTTAAAGTGATTCCTCTGCCTCAGCCTCCTATGTAGCTGGGACTACAGGTACGCACCACCACACCCGGCTAATTATTTGTATTGTTTTAGTAGAAATGGGGTTTCACCATGTTGGCTAGGATGGTATTGAACTCCTGACCTGTGATACATCTGTCTTATCCTCCCAAAATGCTGGGATTACAGGTGTGAGCCACCATGCCCAGCCAGGCCTATAGTTTCTAAATGCTGATTTCAGAGCTTGAACATGGATAGCCAGACTTTGAAGCAAATGCTCTTAACTAGACACTGTATTCTGCCTCCGTTTATATACAACACTGAACACACACACACATAAACACACACACAGTGAAGCACTCATATCCACACATATGTATATATGTATAACATATATTCACCCACTTGCAAACAGGTATGTGGACAGACGCATGCATTTGCCAGCAAAGGCCCTCACACATACACAGGCATTAATACTCCTGGGCATATAGATGTTGACATGTATATACTGACTCATGCATCATGATTTAGATGCACACACATACATGAAACTTTACATATAACAATACAGAAAGAACCACAAAGACACTTCCATCCAATACTCATGCACACCCATATATGTCTGCACATGCATGCATATGTATATATACATGAACAAACACTAGACACAGGATCTGTATCCAACTCTCCCAAGACCCGGGACTCCTGCCATGTTTGTCTCCCATCAGCTTGCATATCCCTGCACCCTCAGTGCTGTTCCACTGGGCGCTAGGGCAAGATAAATTCCAGCTGCAGAGAGCTCAGTGAAATGGGCCCTGGACCCAGCATCTGAAAGTTCTGGAGAATAAGGATGCTGGGGATAGCAAGAAGCAACCTGAAAACTAGTCTTCTATACCCAGGAAGACTGGCCACTCAGGTCTGAAAAAGCCCTTGCAAGCAGCTGGTAGAGGATGCCAAGTGGTTTAAGATGCCCTGCCCTCCAAGAACTTCAACTCTTCTTGGGGAAACAGCATGGGGTTGCCAGGCAGCAAAAGCTTAGTAGTGTAAGACTGAGACAGACATTACAAGACTCAGAGAAGGGAGAGCTGAGCTCAGCCTGGGAGAAGAGGCAAGGGTTCAATCCTAGTCCCTTCATTTCATGGATGGAAATTGAGGTCCAGCAAAGACAAGTGGCATATCTATCCTTTATGACCAGGTGGGGATGAAGGGGTCAGGTGAAGGAAATTTGGCATGGGAACCTCAGAGGATAAACCCCACCCATCCTAACCGATTTTATAATCTCTCCTCACCTGCTTCCTCTCTTCCAGCCTCTTCTTCCTGTGAAGAACCAGAAATCACCTTCCTTATCATGTTAGATTCTCCCTTCTAAAACTCTTATCAAATCTATCCACTTTTCTTCAACCCCAGTGAATCTGATCTTTTCAAAGCTGCTGTCATCTCTCACTAATAGCTTCTTAAGTGGCCTTTCTCCAGGCTCCCTTCTCTCTGTCCATTCTTTACTTTGTTTTAAATGGTGGCCATTTAAAACAAGTCACTTTCTCCTTTAGATCCCTCCAGAGGCTCTTTACTTTCTATAGGATGAGTTCTGACTGCTTAGCTGACAGATCACGTTCTCCACCCTCTGAGCCATTACCAGTCTCTCCAGCCTTAGCTCTTAAACATATCCCCTTCATAATCCAGGTTCCAGTGCCACAGAATTTCTCAGGCTCTCTGAGCTATTCTATTGCACTCTACCCTACTTCTGTGTGCTGTTTTTGCTGCCTGAAAGGCCCTTTCTATCACTGGGGTTATTTCTTCTGTGAAGGCTTCCTGGATTCCCCTGTTCAGTGTAGAGTGGACAAATCAATCAGTAATCAACCAGAAATGACAAATCATAGAATCAGCAGAATGTCAACACAGTTTAATAAATACAGGCCAGTTTTTTCGAGAAAGTAGAGAAAAGCTTGAGCATGATAAGGAGAGAAAAAGGAAGATATATATTTTAAAAAACCACTACCCTACTTTATGACCTCTTCTCTACAAACTTTTTGTTTTTGTTTTTTGAGATGGAGTTTTGCTCTTGTTGCCCCAGGCTAGAGTACAATGGCATGATCTGGGCTCTCTGCAAACTCCGTTTCCCAGGACTCTCCTGCCTCAGCCTCCTGAGTAGCTGGGATTACAGGTGCCTGCCATCATGCCGGGCTAATTTTTGTATCTTTAGTACAGACGGGGTTTCACCATGTTGAATAGGCTGGTCTCGAACTCCTGACCTAGTGATCTGCCCGCCTCAGCCTCCCGAAGTGCTGGGATTACAAGCATGAGCCACCGCACCTGGCCCTCTACAGACTTTCATGATCACATGTAGCATCTGCATCTGAAATTCTGTCTCACCTGCACCCTTCATCCCAGACTGTTAGTTCCTTAAGGACAAGGATCTCACCGTATTCACACATTAATGGTCGAATATATGAAGAAACAGCCTGCATCCTTTCTTCTTTATCCTTTTACTTTCTCAATTATCATGCTGTTATGGTCCAGAAGGAGAGGAAACAGCTTCACAGAAAAAGTAGAGGAGATTTTCCCACTTAAATAATTATGGTGAAAGTACCAAATCAGAATGTGAAATAGGAATTCTGGTGGCATTCACTCCCTTGCTGTTAGCTGATGTTAAGGAAAGTGGATTTCTTTTTCCCTTAGGTCTCATCTTCTGTGGCTTCAGGTTATGTTGGTTGGAAGTTTGAATGGTTTGTTGTTGTCATCATTGTTTTGCATTAAGGAGGGCTGTTCTGGAAACAATACAATGGTTATTCATGGAGATAAGTTGAGAGAAGCTCAAGAGTGATTATTTAATGGCAGGAGGGGAAAAAAATAAGCAAATCTGTAAAGAGCTTGGGACACCAAGTCCAGAACTTAATGCATATAGCAGCCAATCAGCAGTCAAATCATAGAAAGTCATAGAGAGGGGCTTGCAAACACACAAGTATCAGAAAAAGCATTTGTAGTAGAGACCAACCAAAACACTGGATTCTGGGAGCCTTTGTCTGAGATTGGAATTAGCTTTGTTTCATAGAAGATTTTATAGGCTGGGTGGGTTGGGAGACGGGGAAGGACCTAGTTGTACATTTTCATTTCAGTGCATAAACATATACCTATATACCTAAAAGGCACAAGATCTGGATCCAACTCTCCAAGAACCAGGACTTGAACTGTGGGCCCCAGAACATCATGAAAGTGTTCCCATTTCTTATATGGAAGATGAAAGTAGTAGCTGCCCTAATAACCCGAGGGTTGCTAGAGAGATAAAGGAGACAAAAGATAGGATATATAGTTACTTTGCAATACATGAAAAACATATGGGGCAGGTGCAGTGGTTCACGCCTGTAATCTGAACACTTTGGGAGGTGGAGGCGGGCGGATCACCTAAGGCCAGGAATTTGAGACCAGCCTGACTAACAT